AGCAATACTCAACGCCTAAATGGTTTATCATCTACTCCTAATGCTAGATTGCGCCAACTACGGCAATTTAAGCTCGATAACAATGTGCTCCATCGTTACGCTTACACTACTGATGGACACCGCTGGGTTCCAGTACTTCCGCGTTCTCTACGTCATCAAGTCCTCGAAGACTTCCACAACGAACCATGTGCAGGTCACTTGGGATTTCTCAAAACACAAAGCCGCATCAGAAACCGTTTCTTCTGGCCGGGCAATATCTACCTTTGTGGCCAAGTACGTTGCATCTTGCCATCTGTGTCAACGGCGGAAGCGACCAACTTCGTCTCCTGCTGGCCTTCTGCAACCTATCCCGTGTCCCGAGACTCCATTTGCCATCGTTGGCATAGACCTACTCGGACCTGTCCCCATCACGCCAGCAGGTAATCGTTGGATTGTGACAGCTGTCGACCACCTGACACTGTACGCAGAGACTGCTGCACTACGCACAAGTTCTGCTTCAGACGTCGCAGGCTTCTTTCTCAACGCCATTGTATTGCGTCACGGTGCACCTCGCATCCTCCTGAGTGATCGTGGCAAGACGTTCTTGTCCACCATAATCGAAACCCTGCTCACAACCTGTGGCACAGTACATAAGACGACGTCAGCCTACCATCCGCAAACTAATGGGCTGACAGAGAGATTTCATCGGACACTAACAGACATGCTGTCGATGTACATCGCACCAAACCACGGCAACTGAGATACGATTTTTGCCTTTTGTGACGTTTGCCTATAACACTGCTCTTCAAAGAACTACTGGCTACTCACCTTTCTACCTCGTGTACAGCCGTTCACCGACATTCACCATCGACGTCTCTTTCCTGAATGTGCTAACCGACGCCTCGGCAACCGTGTCAGAGCAGTTCATCACAAGGCTCGAAGAATGTCGGCAACGGGCTCGCCTTAATACAGAAGCCAATCAGCAAGATCGCAAGCAACGCTACGACAGCTCTCATCGCGACGTCTCCTTCAGTCCGGGGGATGAAGTGTTGCTTTGGACGCCCATTCGTGCTCCAGGATTGTGTGACAAGTTTCAGTCACGCTTCATTGGACCATATACAATAAATGAACAAACGTCCCCATTGAACTATCGCGTCACTCCTACCGACCTTTCTTCGGATTGTCGCTGTCATGGTTCGGAGATTGTCCACGTATCGCGTCTGAAGCCATTCGTTCTACGTTCCGTTTCCGTCTAATACCCCTGTCACACGGCCACCGCCAAACTCTGTCAAACTCCGTCAACGTAAAGCTCCGCTAGGTAGTTCGATGGAGATGGAGTTGTATCAGTGTCATATGGCAATGACAAGGTTGCAATAGTTGCTGCGAGGGGGCTCAGCCGGCACTGTTTGACTTTTACAGAAGTATCCCAATTTCATCTCTAGGTGCTTTTTTTTGTGAATCTTCGTTATGCGGTTTTTACGAAAACACAATATTAAGTACGCCTGAAGGCAACAAAGCATTAAAAATTATTTCAAATGGAAACACATTGCTAATTGTAGCAATGCTGGCAGCGACGCTGGCCACCTTGTGCCTAACGCTATGTTTGTTTACAATTGCTATGGTGGCTATAGGGGGCCATACAATTGCGCTGTGCTTGGCGACTAGTTGGTTTTGTAGCCCATGTACCAAAGTTCTCGCGTTTCCTTCCCTCCTGAGCGCATCCCAAGTCACCCTTGAATTAGGTCTGGTCTCATTACGCATTTCTGCAGTCGTCGAAGCAGGTGACAATGATGCAGCGCTGTCAGTCATTCTTCTTCCGGGCACGCGCGAACACGGCGTCTTCAAAAACCGCACGCATGGACGATGCCCTCCACACCGCGCCGAAGAAACACGTTATGAATGAGTACTGCAACAAAAGAACGTTTATTATTGCCAAATTGTATTTATTGTTGTCACTGCGGCAATTTAGGCCTCGATTTTTTTTTCTGACCTGCCGATGCTGGGAACGAGAGTACCTCGTTCCACTGCAAAGGGAGATCGTCGAACGTCCTTTGCGAAATACTCCGTTTACCTTCGTTTGCGTAAGGGTTGCCGTGTGACGCGGACCGCATCTCCCTTGTCGTAAGGACGAAGGAGCTAAACGGTGTTCGCGGGTGCCCGTGTGACAGGGGTATAATAAGACGCGTATGGGCTGGCTGCTTACGCGTGGGGGAAAAATAAGTGTGAGCGTTATTCATACGCGTCATCTTATATGTACACACTCATCATCATCAGTCTGTCTGACCTGTGTTGTGGGGCAGAGGCTCGGAAAGTAAAAGAAGTGTCTTGCAGCCAAAAACGTTGCCTTACTATATATATATATATATATATATATATATATATATATATATATATATATATATATATATATATATATATATATATATATATATATATATATATATATATATATATATATATATATGTATATCAAGAAAGCACTTTATCGATGTGCTAGCACTTTGATATGAATTTGCATACACAGACGAGACACGACTCACTTTCATAGGTACCACGAGGTTCAATCACATTTTAACTGAGGATTGGCGCCCTTAGCCTGACCTCCGCGTCCAAAACGATTCGTCACCCTCATCGGCTCGCAACAGTTTCCACAGAGCAGCGGTGACGATATATCCTTTTTAAACAAAGTTATTTTCTGGAAGCAGCAAACTTTTTTTACCGGTCTTTAAAAAGTTTGCTCGTTCTTATCCGTACCTTCATCAACAAGTCACAGCAGAATAAAAGCATGAACAAGTGATGTAATATTATAGTACCCCTGTTCAGCGCTTACCTGCTCTGCAATACTACAGCACAAGACGCAAAGGCGTCGCATAGGTGACCCGCACCGCGAAGAGCCCACAAGGAAAATCATCCCAGAGGAAATGTTGGCAAAATTTCGCTATGTTGTAAACATTCCCTCGTAACATTTTCATTCTCCCGCAAGAACATAAAGTGATTACTTTTGTGACGGAAAACTTCACGTAACATGTGGATTACCCAACGCGAAGCAAGAGTGACCAGTATCAAAATTGGGGGGGGGGGGCTCAACCCCCTCAACTTTTCTCTGTGGAGAGAGGGGTGCTGGCGCCCCTTTTGCCCCCCCCCCCCCAGGCTGATACGCCTATGGACGACGGTAACGTAGGGGGACGAGAATAGATTCCAGTTAATCTTGGAGGGTAGGAAGGTTTGACGAATATGTCTGGCTCGTCATGACATCGGTAATGTAAAAATTTCGTCGCATACGTCAAACGCTTGTTTTCGATGTTTCGTTCGTGTATCTAGAAGTGTACAATAAAGTTTCTTTTTCTCAGGCTTCGAGATTAGTGTACAACAGAAATCGTTGGCTCCCCCATAGTATATAGGTACTTTAATCGTTAACCACTTTTTCTAAGCACATAGGCTCGTCTTATTCGCACACTTTTCTTGGCGTCGGGGTAGGTTTTCTACCCTCTCGTAGTATAGATACCCAGTACTCTAAATTGTTGAACACTTTTCCTAAATACGTGTGGCATATATACTGTATACGGGCCGCACCATGCGGATGCACCACATGTAACTGACAGTTCCCGTGACAATATCTATCTAGTAACTGCTGTCGCAGATACTGGGTAGATATTGTCACGGTAACTTTTTCGCATTTAAATGTGAAGGCGTTAAGCAAAACCGGCATCGGCAGCGTTGACCCGAAAAATGCAGACAATAAAAGTGAGGGTCCCAGCACCAATAGAACCCAAGCTTTTTTGTGTGGCAATCAAGTATTCTACCACAGAACCATGCTAGGTCATGAAACTGTTGTGAAAAAAAAAGGCCCTATGATGGTTTAATGTCGGTTAAACGTCAACTGTGGTTGCAGTGCTGGCCATCTAATTTTACAAACATTACATATGTGCTTTTATGATACAGCCGCCACGTCGGATGAATGAATGGATTTATCCGGCTGTGCCCTTTAGATCGGGCGGTGGCTCGCGCCACCTATCCATAAAGTTAATTAACATATACATTAATTAACATATACGTAAGCGCCATCTACTGAAGCTGGTCTACACAGCACTAGCCAAACCTATACCATCATCACACGCGCAAGTGCTCCATACATGTTTACCGCTTTTGGTGTTGTAATACCATGGTGTTGTTGGCATCGTTGTGCAACTTTAAATGTCTGGTTATATAAAACATACGCGACTGTTCGACAGACGTCTCTGTGTACCTTTTTTAAGCTTCCTCTTGTATTGTCTCGCTCAACAAAAATATTGCACCACAATCTCCTCTCGTCATGCTTCGCACAACATAGATTTCCGTGTTACGTGAGGTCTGCTTTATTTTTTCCTTGTTTTTTTTTTTAGATGAGGCACCTCATAAGGTGAAAATATGCCTCAATATATTCGTGAAAAAAAAAACGTATTTCAGAATCGGCGTCGGTATCTGAGATCATTGTGGAGATCAGTATCGATATGTTTCTCTAATACTAACACAAATTCCCCTCCTGAAACGGTCGATATTTGAGATGAAGGAAATGCATTCTTTCACATGGTAGCGTAAGGATACGTTTGTCCACCGTCCCCCCCCCCCTCGCTTCAACTTTCTCCACTGTCCCGGCCTTTGCGGGACTAAATTTTGTGACTGCGGCGAGCAAGAAGAGGTGAGTTGAAGACCACCGCAGCAGAGTATGTACACCTGGCCTCAAAAGTTTACGGGACGTTGGCTCGGCTGTAAGCGCTAAATTCAGCCCTCTTAGTCTTTGACACGTCTAAACAAACGGCTGTCTGTACAGATCGTAAGCAATAATACAGGCTGAAAATGTGTTAATTTGGATGCCATGTTTCCGAGCAAAGTCGCAATATAGCTTTCTCGAAAATTGTGCGTCCCTCAACTGTATACGCAATGTCAGAACGCCATTCCTGTTGTGTAACCGGGCTGGCCACAAAAACATTTGCGAGCTCAGGTCAGTGTTTATGACATCATGAATCCTCTGCAACACGCAGCTTCTGGGCTTGGCCCTGATCGTGGTGTCGGCGGTGGCACTGGCGGGATCCTCTGCGGAGGAAGCCCCGCTTCCAGGACTGCAGAGCGTCCGCAGCGCAGCGGCCACCGCTCTCTTCCTCGGCTGCCTGCTCTTCATCGTCGGATTCCTTGGCTGCTGTGGGTCCGCGAGAGAGTCAAAGCCACTGCTCGTTGGAGTGAGTATAGAGCACGGTGATTCAGTCTCTTTCAGCGGGCGGAACAAATCTGAGCAAAGAGTTTATCCGCTCGTTTGGTGCCAAGTGGATGTGTCAAACATCAAAAAGAACCCTACTTAGGAACCCTATATACAGTCTCGGCAGAAAACAGCGCTTTGCTATAGGTGGATAGACGCTGGTAGTTGTAGAGGAATATTAGGACAGGTAGTAACCGCGGAGCCGAACCATGAGAGTGAAACCACTAGAAAAATAGAAATGGGATGCACGGATCACATTCGGCAAGCATTCTCAAATCATAAATCTGCCACTAATCATCAAGAGGAAGGTATATAACAGCTGAATCTTTAGATACTACAGAAATCCGCTCGTTTGGTGCCAAGTGGATGTGCCAAACATCAAAAAAGAACCCCATTTAGGAACCCTATATACAGTCTCGGCAAAAAACAGCGCTTTGCTATAGGTGGATAGACGCTGGAAGTTGTAGAGGAATATTAGGACAGGTAGTAACCGCGGAGCCGAACCATGAGAGTGAAACCACTAGAAAAATAGAAATGGGATGCACGGATCACATTCGGCAAGCATTCTCAAATCATAAATCTGCCACTAATCCTCAAGAGGAAGGTATATAACAGCTGAATCTTGCCGGCACTTGCCTACGGAGCAGAAACCTGGAGTCTTACAAAGAGGGTTCTGCTTAAATTCAGGACGACGCAGCGGGTGATGGAAAGGAAAACAATAGGTGTAACCTTAAGAGAAAAGAAGAGGGAAAGGTGCGTCAGGGAACAAGCTGGGGTTTAGGATATCATAGTTGAAATCAAGAAGAAGAAATTAACATGGGCCAGGCACGTAGCACGCAGGCAGGACAACCTCTGGCCATCAAGGGTTGCTGACTGTATTCCCAGAGAAGGCAAATGCACGAAAGCAAGACTGTTATGCCAGCAAGGCCTCGTCAAACGTCCGTGCCTCGGAAAAAGGCAATCTGGGTCAAGGCCAGCCCGCAGTCCGCCTGGCGCGATCAACTCGACGGAGTGAACACGCGCGGCGCCTCCCTGGCCCACGTGCATTGAGTCAGCTGCGCACGTGACAACGAGCCGGCGTCCACGTGTCTGGTGGTCTGACGCATGGCGCGGCGACCCCCATTGGAGGAATCTGCCCTGACGACCAGCGGCGCTTCTGATTGGACATTTTGGTTGGACCCGGTGCAAATAAAAGAAGCCCTGCGGCGTGTCGCGATCAGCGGTCTTAGGCGAAAGGCTGACCTATGTGTTAGAGAGGAGAGCTCGGCTCTTCGAGTCTCTGTCGGCCCCAGTGCCGAAATTGTAACGCCTCTGTATATATGCTGTACATAAACCTTATTTAACTCACCGTCGTCTCGTCCGCTCGTCTTATCAGCTCTGCGCAGAAGCAGTCGCGAGCTGAGAAACATACGCTACCAAACGGCTGGTGACCTTCCCGGCGGAGTTGAAAGCAGTGGCGCCTTGGGACCGTGTTGGCATCGCCGTCCTTCGCAACAGTGGTGGCTTCGGCGGGATCGGTCCGTCTTTTGCAACAGTGGTGGCTTCGGCGGGATCGGGCCGTCGTTTGCAACAGTGGTTGGCAGCTGCGGGATCGACCGGCGTCAGCGACATCGATGCGGTGAGTGCCTGATGTTTTCCCCTCAGTTCACCAGACTACTCTAGCTCAGGTTGTAGTAGTTTAGAGAAGGGCTGTGTGAAGCATTGAAGGGAGCTTTGATCATTTCAAGCCAAGTCGAAGCGCTTTGAAACCAAAGTTAATGCGGAGGGGGTAAACACGGGAGTGTGAAAAATTGCTTGCGCGTCTTGCTATTAGGCTTATAGTGGGTACGGCAAGTAGATTCTTAACAGGGGCAAACAGCAAGAGGCTAGTGTGAACGATGGAGAACCTTAAAGTGAAGGAACTCATCGAAATTTGTGAGGAACTCGGCATTACTTTGGGCCGTGCGAAACGAAAACAAGCGATCCTTGAGATCATGAAGGATGAGGGAGTGTCGGCTGAGGAAGTCGATGAGGCCTGGGTGGATATCAAAGCACGCCGCGAGGAGGCTGAAAAGCGAGAAGCTCGCGAACGTGAAGAAGCTGAAAGGCGAGAAGCTCGCGAACGTGAAGAAAGGCGAGAAGCTCGCGAACGTGAGGAGGCTGAAAAGCGAGAAGCTCGCGAACGTGAAGAAGCTGAAAGGCGAGAAGCTCGCGAACGTGAAGAAAGGCGAGAAGCTCGCGAACGTGAAGAGGCTGAAAGGCGAGAAGCTCGCGAACGTGAAGAAGCTGAAAGGCGCGAACGTCGCGAGCGCGAGGAGGCCGAGAGACAGGAGCGCCTTGAGATGAAACGACTAGAATTGGCAATCCTACAGTGTTCGCAGGCGCCTAGCGCAGCTTCTCCGACGATTCAGGTCAGCGGTATTAGAATTCGGGATCAACTGCCACCGTTCGTAGTAGGCGAGGACATGGCGAAGTATCTCGTCAAGTTTGAACACGTCTGTGAGCGAAATGCTTTGGAGCAGTCTCTTTGGGCGCGGAACCTGCTAGCTCTTCTTCCCGGCGAAGTGTCCGACGCGATAACTTGCTTGTCGAGGGAAGCGTTTGAGAGCTATGACGAGGTTAAGGAAGTGCTCTTGAGACGTTATAAGTTGTCACCCGAGGCTTTCAGGCAAAGGTTCCGGTATGCTAAAAAGGGGAATGAGTCACACGTTGACTTCGCGTTTCGTCTTAAAGCCGATTTGATTGAATGGCTCAAGGGCGAAGGTGTTTATGACGACCGCGATAAAGTGGTGGAATGCGTTGCATTGGAGCAATTCTACCGCTGCATCGAGGAGGATGTCAAACTTTGGCTGCAGGACAGACTTGGGGACGTACAGTTAAACAAGGCAGCTGAGTTAGCTGAGGAGTATTATACTCGCCGAAAGTTGCATAGCAGGGCAGCGCGCGTTGAAAAGGATGAAAAGAAAGAGGGCTTTTCAAGGAAACCTGATCAACGGAAACCCGTTCCGCACCGTAATTTCAAAAAGGACCCGTCTCTTACGAAGGACAGTGTAGGGGAAGGGCAAACAGAAGCGGAGAAATCGAGTGAGGTTTCTACCACACAGGCATTTGAGTCGGAAAACAAACGGAAGCCGCTAATCTGCTACAACTGTAAAAAGGAAGGGCACATCGCTAGAAACTGTCAGGAAAAGTTTGCCTTCGCAACGATCCGAGAATCAGAAAAAAACATTCGGTTGTTGGAGCCGTATCTCCAAGAAATTAGGGTGAATAAGAAAACGTGCCGAGCACTTAGAGACTCAGCGGCAACCATGGACGTTGTCCATCCTTCATTGGTGTCTCCGGATGACTTCACAGGAGAATGCGCGTGGATCAGGCAGGTCGCCGAGGAGCAGAGTGTTCGCTTACCAATCGCCAAGGTTGTCATTAAAGGCCCGTTCGGTGAGCTTCGCACCGAAGCGGCTGTGTCTGCCGCGCTAAATGATCGTTTTTCTTATCTTTTCTCCAACAACTCGGAGCAGCTTCTCAAAGAGCAGGGCAAATCGTTCTTCCCCAACTTAGCGTGCATGGCTCTCACGCGATCGCAAGCGCGAAAGCTTTCGCGGAAGCTTGACTTGGTTCCATGCGGTGAACTCTCAAGTGACCTTGTCGGCGGGTCGACGGAACCCCAGAAAGGAAAGTTTCCGCATGAGTCATGTGAGCAGTCACGCGAGCGGCCCGTCGCCGAACCTAGCTGCGCGGTTTCCGGAGAAAGGGGAGACGACATGGCGCCATTGAATCAGAGCGAGAGGGCTGCAACGCTCTCGCCTGTAGCGGAAAGTTGGAGCGAGCTGCCGAGAGTTGATCGAGAGACGCTCATTCGAGAGCAGTGTGAGGATCTCTCGATTGAAGCGCTAGTGGAAAGCCAAATTCAAGCGCGAGTGGAAAGCCAGAAAAACGCGGCAAAAGTGCTGTCGAAGGAGCACTACGAGAAATCGGGGAAGAAGCGCGCTTTTGAAGTTGATAATCAGGTAATGCGGCTGCAGCCATCCAAAAGGAACAAGCTTGAGGTTGATTGGGAAGGGCCCGCCAAAGTATTATCGAAGGCTTGCGATACAAATCATGAGGTGCAAGTAGGAAGGCGGCAGAACAAAATTTACAACTTGATGAAACCCAATGTTCAACATCAAGCGGTCGTAAATCAGCTGTTGAAGGCTTCAGAGGAAGAGGAAGCAGAAAATTTGAGTTCTAGTGAGGTGATCGAAGGGGGATCGAAAGTAATCCGGGAGCAGATAAACCTAGAGCCTAGCTTAAGTGAAGGAGGACCTGAGAAAGAGGACCTGAGAAAGATTGTTTCCGAGTTTGGGTATGTGTTGTCGGACCGTCCCGGAGACACGACGGTGATCGAACACGATATCGAGCTAAGCGGTGAGGAGTCAATCAGTAGCAAGCCGTATCGTTGTTCCCCTGTGCAACGTCGAAAGTGTGAGCCGCTCTTGGGGCCGCATAGGTATCGTCGCCTAAAAGTGGCCGGTTACTGAAGTGGAGCATGTTGCTCCACAGCGCAACTTTGACGTTCGCTATCAAAAAAAAAATAAAGGAAAGGTAAACGCTAATGCAGGTGCATTGAGCAGTGCGTTCCAGCTAGTAACTTCTCAACCTTTCGGTTTCTGGCTGGCGATTCGGGGCAAAAATTTTGACCTCATCACGACCTGGGCGGAGCGCTCTCGTTTAGAGTGATCTCAAGGGGCCAACTTTGTGGTATTCTAATTCGTTACGTTGTTGTACGTGGGAAAAAAATTTGAGTTGTCATTTTAAGAGTCTTTTGTCCCACATGTGCCTCTTGATGTAGAGGGAACAAAATTCCGATAAACACGTAGATAGGTATATGTTGTATTATACTTTGTCTGGTGTTCTGTCGGGTGACCGAAGGCACTTGCTTGTGTCGTGTGTTGTCTGTTGTCGAACCGTTCTTAGCAAGTTGCAGAACCATCGACAAGTGCTGAAACCGAAGATGGTCAGAAGAGACGAGTGAAGCTGGTCGACAAGTTGTGGCGACAAGCCAGTGGAGCTGGGATCCGTCGTCAAAAATGGGATGTGTTCCCGGAACAGTCTGGAGCTGTATTCTCCCCATGGCCCTGGAGGCGAACCTGGAGGGACCTGGCGAACGAGCGCACCTGACATCCGAGCCCCGTGGAAGCAGCTCGTCTTTCCGGTGCATTGTCTGGCGGCGGGGGTGCTGTTATGCCAGCGAGTCCTCGTCAAACGTCCGTGCCTCGGAAAAAGGCAATCTGGGTCAAGGCCAGCCCGCAGTCCGCCTGGCGCGATCAACTCGACGGAGTGAACACGCGCGGCGCCTCCCTGGCCCACGTGCATTGAGTCAGCTGCGCACGTGACAGCGAGCCGGCGTCCGCGTGTCTGGTGGTCTGACGCATGGCGCGGCGGCCCCCATTGGAGGAATCTGCCCTGACGACCAGCGGCGCTTCTGATTGGACATTTTGGTTGGACCCGGTGCAAATAAAAGAAGCCCTGCGGCATGTCGCGATCAGCGGTCTTAGGCGAAAGGCTGACCTATGTGTTAGAGAGGAGAGCTCGGCTCTTCGAGTCTCTGTCGGCCCCAGTGCCGAAATTGTAACGCCTCTGTATATATGCTGTACATAAACCTTATTTAACTCACCGTCATCTCGTCCGCTCGTCTTATCAGCTCTGCGCAGAAGCAGTCGCGAGCTGAGAAACATACGCTACCAAACGGCTGGTGACCTTCCCGGCGGAGTTGAAAGCAGTGGCGCCTTGGGACCGTGTTGGCATCGCCGTCCTTCGCAACAGTGGTGGCTTCGGCGGGATCGGTCCGTCTTTTGCAACAAGACAGAAAGCGGCCGATAGTATTAAAAAGTATACACTTATAAAGAGATAAGCGATGCAAGCCTGGTCGCCATGCATGCACAAAGAAGAGCTCCCTTTACGCACCTCCACTTTTGCGCGAACGGATATTTTCGACCACAGCCAGATGCCAGAAACAATATTCGCGCCAGCACGCCCTCCGTATTTTTTTCTCTCTTGTTAGAGTGTAGATCGAGGCGGAGATAAGGATATAGAATGGCTTGTTACCTGGAATAACGGTTCGACCCGTGGTTGCCTAGCGACGACGGCTGTTCGGTATCTGGGCACGGCAAGGCGATGCCGGGAGCGTCATCTATCCATAGGTATACACGAGACGTTGTTCGTGATAACAAGGCATGAACTGGAGAAGGCGCCTTGGTGTCTCGATGTAAGAGCCGCCTGAAATAACTGCCGAGTGGCAACGGAAATCTTGGGCTGTGCCTCGTCCCGATAGTTTAAGGAGTCGGTATATTAGAGCTCCCTACCAGATCCGATCAGAGGCTTACCCAGAATATTGATTATTGGACTATTAGAGAGGGAGGGGGAGATAAAACGTCCGGTGAGTGCGAGAGGCAGGAGAGGGTTGCATTATCTCGGGGGAGGGGTGTTGGGGTCATCCCGGAAGGCTGCTGGGGCGTTGTCGGAAGTTGGGGAGGGTTATAAATCCTCAACTCAATAGAGGGAGGCTCACAAAACTTTCCTCACGTATACACGCAATGCGTGGTGGTCTATCGCTCTCAATAACGACTAGCGATGATGAATAACGACGTTGTCGCGTCAGTCGTTATCACGGTGGCTGTTTACTAATCATGGGTCAATGCAGCCGTCGTACAGCTGGTTGTTTATCAATATCTTAAACTATGTAGCGGATTGCTGCTGGCCGCTCATGTAATTGAAGCCCGCATTGAACTTCTTTCCTTTTTCTTTTTAACAGCAAATTGTTCCTCGTTCATCCCGCACCAAAAAACTATTATTATCCTAAACGGGTATACGCGATATAGAAATTCGGTGTATCCTGCTAGTCACGATTAGTTCACTAAAAGTGAAGACGGTAACAGTAATCTTAACAAAAAGGAAATGGCTACGAAGTGACGATGATGGGCCAAAGACCCCAGTATACATACAACGAGAGAGTATACTGTAGGGAAACGTATAGGTAACGGCGGCTGCAAAAAGAGCCCGAAGCGATGAAAGGCGTACGCGAACGACGACTTGCTCGTGTCGCGTCTCCGACTCGAACCTCCCTGCGCTGTCAGTCTTCAAAAGTCTGCAAAGGCTGTTTCATAACAAAACTTCACAAATAACGTACAGGTTATGCAGGCTATACCTGCGAAAAGACATATTCAAGGACTATGAAAAGCATGTAGAATAAATAACTGGTGGTTCGTAAGAGTTTAATAATATGTTTGTCAGAGGAAGGAAAACGCCGTTGATTTTATGCCCTATAATGTTCTTTTGTTCGTGTAATAATCCTCGTAAGCTGTTTAGATATATGTAACGTTTTCAACGTCAACATATTGAAATAAATACAATGATAGGAGCAGTGAGTTCTCATAATGATGGTATTATGAGAACCTACAATTCGCTGATCAACTGTCGAGTAACTATCGAGTTTTCAGATAATTACATTATCAATATAAATTGGTTTCGCGTTCTGGTAGGTTTCTAATTCCGCAATCGTGTTGGTGCCCTCCTTTCTACAGCGTATTCGCTGTCACACAAGACGTATTTTAAGAAAGCAAGCATATACAAATGTAACATCTTCGACTCACTGTGGTCAGAAGATTTTTATCACGGGGATACTCACGTAATTTACTCTAAAGGGTCCCCGCTATTCAATCATCCATGGCAAAACATTTTTGTGCCACCTCGCGTTCTTTCTTTATTCACAGTACTTCGCTATCCTGCTCATCGTCTTGATCTTCGAGATTGCTGTCTTGGGTCTGGCGTTTGCCTACGCCAACAGTTCAGCGGTAAGTTGGGGCTCTGCCCTCAGCTAATATCGCCATGTCATTATTAATGTTTTAGATGACTACAACGTATTATTGGGCATTTTTTAAGCGTTTATCCTAGGCATTATTTCGCAGTGTTTCAACACGACCTACAAGCAACTTCTCTTGGTACAAACGCCCCAAAAACATGCGTTCTTAAATAAGAGGAAACTAGTTAATAATACCCGTGTGCTGCTCTTCTTTTTTAATGAGAAATTCATGAACACGAGATGTCTGTGAAGGCGACGTTTAGACAAGTGGTCTTCTTCCCTCCTTCAAGTTGAAGCCTTGAACAAGTCAGGTCCGTCTTTAAAAATTTCTCATCCCTTCAAATCTCAAGAACCTTTGTCATATTTTTTTTTTTACAATACACGTGCACGATTTCCCTTATATGTGACATGAAAAAAGCCAAAGGTGCGTGTATATTACTGCCACTGTCTTCGGGATTTTACTTCGTTTACGGCTAACCTCTTTCTTCCTTCTAACATTTCCATTCACTTCGTTCAATCGTTCTCGTACTGCGCTGTTTATATGTATTTACTTTTAATATATATCACGTATTCGAATTTGTAGGCTTCCTATTCTTTTGCTGAAGGCTCATAAATGGCTGGAGAAGCCAGCTCATTCAATTGGTCTCCTGTAACCTACCTTTCACATTACGTCGTTTTAATTTGACTCCCGCAGATGGAAGAAGCAATGAACAACCAGTTCAAGGACATAATCACGGGTGGCCGCCGGGACAAGGACCCCTGGCAGCAGGAGAAGGACATGAACATGGTGCTCTACGTGCAAGCTGAAGTAAGCGTGAGTGAGTGAGTGAGTGAGTGAGTGAGTGAGTGAGTGAGTGAGTGAGTGAGTGAGTGAGTGAGTGAGTGAGTGAGTGGTGCTTGAGTTTCTTGATTCTCTGTGTTTTCACGCCCACTGTTTTACCATGAATACGAGCAAGCTCGCTCAGCTAATACGACCCCTCCAGGATAAATCCACGTGCATTTCTGCCTCAGGAACGGTAGACGTTGTTTCTCGCAGTTCCGTTGCTGTGGAGGACGAGGTGTCCAGGACTACACCGAGAGTGGCTTGGACATCCCACCGAGCTGCTACGACAACCGTGACAACCAGCGGCCTTACCTCTTCGAAATGGTATGCCGTTATTTTAATGCGATAACAACTCTGTGGACGCTCTTGGCGCGTTATTGCCGTCGGCAATAGCGCGCCGGTTCTGTCACCACGCGCTTCCGTCTAAAGTCAAAATCAGCATCAACCCGCGCGCTGTGCGTTCTATGCGCGAGTTAAAGCGGGCGAGCGCATCACACGAGCGGTTACCTACAGCGAAGAGGAAACACACGTCAGCCGTCTTTCGTCGCACGAAACGTCATAAGGAGGGGGCAGGGGTCTGCACGGCTCCGGCAGCAACCTCGCACTTCACTCAGCCGACCACTGACAGGCTCTCTTAACTTTAAAGGGATCAGCAGATGGCTTAAGCCTTTGCACGTACTGACCTCACCACTCGGTTTGCGATGAAGTGTTAGGCAGCATGAGGGGCCCTTTTCTCTCTGCAACGTCCTTACACGGACGTTTTGTTGCGTTATGTGCAAAGGAGTGAGCCACTAGCTTCACTTAGCATAACATCGCAATTTGTCGACATCGTATTTATCCATTTGTCCTTACGGTGAAACTGATTTTTTTTTATTTTATGGACGAGATTTTCATTCAAGTTGTTTGCAGCTTACAAGAAGATGCGAAGAAAGTATGACAAGCTTACTCGGCAACAAGGCTTCTTTAATGAAGAATAGAATAGTTATTTCAAGGGCTCCCTCGTAATTGATCTTTAATTTTAGTTTTTTTTTTTGTGTGTGTACTGCGAAAACACGGAACTCGTTCTCTCTCTCCGTTACTCGAGGTGTGGTCACTTGGCGTAAAGCAGGCGAAACCGCGTATAAAAATTGAAATAGAGGAAGCGAGCCAGAAATAGAAACGGGGGGAAAGAAAAGGAAATGAAAAAAAGGAGAAGGAAAGAAAGAAAGAGAAAACTAGAGAGAAACAAAGAAGCTTGCTCAACTGCACACTTCCTTCCGGCTTGGCTCCACTAGTCAGAAGCTGCCTTATTATTTATTTTTTTCTCGCGGAAAGCGGTCATTTTTCGTGTATTCTTGCGGCACGCAGGCAATCAATGCCCTATTCTCTGCGTCAGAGTGTAATCCGCGATCTCCCGTTACCGCAGGGCTGCTCAAAAGCGATGAAAGACTACGTTCTGCGCAATGGACTGGGAATAGGCCTTGTCAACTTGTTTACCCTGCTCGCCCAGGTACGTACATGGGAGGACTTCACAACATAACATACATGATTGTTTTGTTATCGTTGTTCCCGCGCGCGAGTCGGCGAGTACTTCACCACGTAGCGTACGGATTTTATTGGTGAGTGAGTGAGTGAGTGAGTGAGTGAGTGAGTCAGTAAGCGAGTGAAAGAGTCAGTCAGTCAGTCAGTGAGTGGGTCAGTAAGTGAGTGAGTGGGTCAGTAAGTGAGTGAGTGAGTGAGTGAGTCAGTAAGCGAGTGAAAGAGTCAGTCAGTCAGTGAGTGAGTGAGTGGGTCAGTAAGTGAGTGAGTGAGTGAGTGAGTGAGTGAGTGAATGAGTGAGTGGGTCAGTAAGTGAGTGAGTGAGTGAATGAGTGAGTGAGTGAGAGCGACCTACAGCGCCCTTTCCACGTTTCATTCTCCAAACTCGCGACCGTCTTCATTTCAGATCGCCGCCATGATCTGCTCCTGTCTTCTCATCCAAGGCATCAAAAAAGTGCACAAAGATACATCCGGGGCCTAGGGGGTCAGCCGGGCCACATGTGGTCGTACAGCGTCACTGCCGTTTGTCGACAGACATCTCTTCACGTCTTAATACGATTATACCATCGTTGTATTTTATTCCGCAGGAAACAGTGGGAAGTATAGGGAAAAAGAAACATAAGCGTCCCGCTCACATTCTCTTAGTTCATATTTTTAAAGTTTCACCATTTCCATCTATAGCATGTGCATTTTGTTTTTATTTGTGTAGTCGAGGAACATCGTTTTAGGCGTCAGTATGTCACATGTGTCTGCAGACTGAAAGTCTACCCTAATACCCAACAATCGAAGCTATATAGCCCGAAAGAAAGTGCAATTCTTTTAATGAACATGGCAGTGGTTCGATCTTGTGTTCGTGATTGTTTTGTAGTTTGAGCTCGTTGAGCCCGTTTTCAATTTGCGTGTGAGTTGTTTTCTTCTTCTTTTTTTTTTTGTCAATGTCGTAAAGACACTTTTTGAGTGTCCCGACAAATTATTCCCACGTTGTTAAAATATCCTCGTGATTATCATACAGAGATCATCGTAATTTAAGTTCGAAATACGACGTTTTTTAGGTTTGTTGACGGAGTCCCAGCCACTTCAAAGCATCGCTCTACATTAGTGCAGTGCGTGTGCCACTCGCCGACAATTTTACGTGCCCTACTCACGAAACAGTGTGGTTCCGTACAGGGTATGCACATTTATTCGTACATTTTCTAAGGAAGCTTGGTTGTAATATTCGCTAAACAATGATATCCGACACCCCAAAACGGGCTTCTTAGCAAACGTAGTCGATAAGGCTTATAACGACGTCATTCGCAGTGTTTCTTGAACATTGATCGACGGTAGCGTTTTTCTTGTTGTTAATAAGACGTCAACGAAGTGAATGTTCCTGAAAGGACCCACAATAAAGATATTTTCCATTTGTGGTTTTCAATATGTGCCTCTCAAACCTCAAGCACTGCTGAACGTATGCGTTTTTTCGACGTGAATAGTTTGTAGACTCTATGCACGTGCTGCAAAAGCGTGAAAATCGCGGATAATGTTTCTAGTACCAGCCTACTTCTTACTGCAGCATATGGGGCACGTGGACCACAAGTGCTACCGCACGTAGGCTGGTAAGCAGCAAGAATATGCACGGTAGGCAGAGTCTCGCGTTTCTCGAAATGCAACCGCAGTGCTACGTAATACGGCATGCGTTTTTAGCTGCTACTTTTTTTTTCCCTACTTGCACGTTTGATATGCCAACGCTGAAACACGACCTCTGTTCTGCTCGCGATATTTACCACGAGAACAAAGACCTACGAAAAAGGTGAGAATACACATGCTGTCTGCCACAAATAGGGGCTCGAACTGCGATAAAGCCAACTATCAAGCCTAGCAACGCAGAGCAAGCTGAATGTCATGAAGAGGCGATGAAGTCTAAGTTCTTGATAGCGTATTTAGGGTAGTTTATTCTAGTAACGTTGGGGTGGCCAGCGTAAGACCATATCGTCCCACATGGTACCGTAAGTGAAATTTATAGCTTTCTCTCAAGTTCCGTTCCAACGCCCATCGATACAACTTTCTTACTCTTGTACATTATCTTTGAAGGCATATGATAAAGACTTCTCTCGTTCTTACCACATCTACTGCCGCCGCAATCATATACAATAAATTGCTTAATGTGCGTTACGTTTTATTAAAGACGTTCTTCACCGCAAGAATATTTTAAAGGAAGTATAAGAATCACAATGTCTCAGTGCTTTCACATGAGAAAACTGAGAGTAAAAAACTCACTCGTTTTGTTCTATTTCTTTCTCTTAGCTTGCGTTTCCTTTGGTATGTGTATGCGTTTCTGCTGTTTTTGCTTTTGTTTTTTAGACTATTTTAGAGAAAGTTCAAGAAAGTTTCCAACAATAAAATGATGCTACTATGTTTCACATCAGCTAGTGGAAGTAAAGAACCCGTTCTTTGCGTAATGTTTTTTATCTTTTTACACGCATTTATATCGAGATGCTGAAAAATGTTCGAAAGCGCGCTAGGAACAAGTGACGCCATCTGGCGCAAGAGAAAAGAAGGGATCTCACACGGGCCGCGACTTGTATCGTAAACATAGCGACGTGCGTGCATTCTTAAGCGGTAATCTGTACAGAGTTGTTTGTGGATTTGTGCTGGTTGTGCCTGTGTCGCTCAGTTGGAAAACGAACGTGTGTGGGAACTATTGATGCATTCTTGCGGTAGCTCAATCGATCTTCGCCACGATCGGGCATGGTTCAACGGAGGAAGCAACAAAAGCGTGACCCGCGCCGCGCTCTACTGATCGTCCGACAACGAGCGATGGCCTACAAAGAGGACACCCTGTCGTAGTAGGCAGCAGAAGTTCGGGCCTTCCTCTCGTGCGAGGGCGGAACAACAGGGAGGAGAGCGCGAGCGAAGTGCACACTCGGCAGTGGGGATTCGCTCGCAGGATTTCAAGCTGGACGGTTGTGCCCTCGCGATCTCCGACTTCAGCGTAGCTCCCGCCGACTGGTTCGCCCTCCGCGGTCTCCTGACGCCGTGTAGCTCTCGCATTGTGGCACCCCGCCCTTGGACTGCTTCGACCGGATCCCCACTTTCCTATCTCCTTCCTTTTTCCTCTCGTTGGCTGTCTTCTTCTGCTTCTACTTTCCTTCTATTCTTTTTATCCCTCCTTCCCCCCACCCCTATAAGGCACTGCGCCGTGTCGCCTGAAGGCAGACAGAAATTAGGTGCCTTTTTCCTCTTCATTCTAATCACTACCACCACCACTCGGCAGTGGTGAGGGTCACATAATGGCCCGGCGCCGTTGCTCGCGACGTCGGCAGCTGCAGGAGCCGCGTCGGGGAGTCGCGGCAGAAGGCACGCCAGAGCTCGGAAACTCGGTGGTGTCCTGATTGCATGCAGCGGTGCAGGAGCGGTGCAGCAGTTGTTCGCTTCCAGTCGCGCCGTTTGCGACGGACGCACTCGGTGGCTGCCCGGCTGTTGCGAGTGAACTACCGAAGCATAGCGGTGGCGATTGAGGAAGTTGGCTGCCGCAATTTTCGCGGAGGTCACGATTGAAAGCGACGCCCAAGCCGGTGTTATGTGCTGTGTTGGTGCGCGCCTGTCTGCGACTGGTCTTGAGCGGTGGTGCGTCATAGTGCGGCCGTTGTCCTTGTCATGTTGTCGCGAGGCCGATCTTGACGCAACGTAAAGTGTCGGAAGACGTCTGTAGGAGGGGTCCTCGAGGCTGTGACGGGCCCTTCCTACGAAATCGGAAATGGTGTGCGGTCTAGGACTCATCAAGGGTGTCCTCTGTGCCCTCAACTTCACGATCTCGGTACGTTATCCATATTCATATAACTTATTGCATAACGGCTGCCCGAGGGAACGGAAGTGCCGACGCTGTTTTGTTGCCGGGGCGCTAGTGCAGTAAGGTCGCTAATTTTCCCAGCGGCGTAGCACTTGCAACACCCGGACAACGCAACGCGGATTAGATCATAGCGCATGTATATATTTAGCGTGATCACAGAAAGAAAAACAAACCAAATGCACATCTGCCGAGAAACGATCGTCTTTTTGATCAGTACACAATGCTTACAAAGGTGCATCTGCACTCTGGATTGCGTACCGTCGATGCAAAGTTTCGGTTCTGGTCGCAGAACAACTTATTGGGACAATTGTACGCTTCACAGATAACAGATGTGAGCGCATGGCATGCGTGGCATGCAGCACAGGTGGCTATAAGTTCTTGTACGTAGAGCATTTGTGCTTATGCGCATTCTTCCATCTGCAGCTGCTTGGAGTGGCGGCAATTGTCGTGGCTGCCATCGTGCTCAACAATCCAAACCTCCACGATGTCAACGACCACTTGGGAAAGTTCTCAAACTACCCCACTGCTGCCACATTTGCTCTTGTGGCAGGCGTCACGGTGCTACTGTTTGGTGTCTGCGGCTGTTGTGGGGCCTGCTTCGGTGTTGGCTGGCTCCTGTTAATGGTGTGTTCCTGTTCGTATGTTTACGATGAATAGTAGATCACTTCCACTGCCCTTGATGTCATCCTTGTGTGTAGTGCAAGGAGAAAGTTGGTTGAAACAACTTACAAATGGGCTTTGACAGCTCAGTGACTTGAACAAAGACGCACACACATTGGCATATTTTACTCCAAGAATGTTTAAAACAGAAATTAATAAACCAGCATGAAAGCATAGAGTGTATGCAATTGTGCCAAGGCAAATATGCAGATTCGCCCACTGTGTTGTATGCATCATCAGAATTCCAGTTCCATCTCATAATAGGTCAAATTTCATAATACACATTCCACGCTACATGCTTTCATAAGCAAAGGTGCATAGACAGTGGGCTCCATAGGCAGAGAGTATTCATTTTGCAGGAGGGGGCACTTCTTCCACATTGTTTTCTCTCTCTCATTATATATATGTGTGTGTGTGTGTGTCTGTGTGTGTGTGTGTGTGTGTGTGTGTGTGTGTGTGTGTGTGTGTGTGTGTGTGTGTGTGTGTGTGTGTGTGTGTGTGTGTGTGTGTGTGTGTGTGTGTGTGTGTGTGTGTGTGTGCAGAGAGGGAGACGGAAAGAACAACTGCTAAATTAAAGAATGTGACACAACCTGAAGTCTCTTAGGTGCCAACACCATCATGCTAAATATCTCTAGCGGAAAACTCCAGATTTATTTTACAGCTTATGCAATAACATGGATCTGCCTCGTAACGCTTGGCCCAAAGTGAAAAAGGCTGCGTAGACTTTTACTCCCCGACTACATCACATAAAAGTGATTTCCACAATGTGCAGGATGTGCCAAATTTTTTCACTGACATGCTTTGCTTACTTTGTTAAACTATGCTCCAAACAGGAGAGAGTGGGATAATGCTAGCAAAGGGAGCTTTAATTGTGCCCGTGAATCGAATTTATAATGACCAACCATAATTCTCAAATAATGGGAAATACTATTTTCTATCACTGTAGACCTTTTGCAAAGCAGGAATGGCAAATTTTGCTGCTGGAGTTTGTGTTGTGCTTGCATATCAAAGTTGCTTTTCGGTCATCAGTGCTAGTTGGCAGTAAAACGTTTTGCTGATAAAATATGCGCGTCATTTTTTTCTTGGCACTTTTAAAGGCAGTCATTTTGAAGGGTACCAATTTGAAGACGACCAAAAAGTTGCCCCCCTTTCTTTTAAGGCATTTCCAGACTGATTTTGTCAAGATGGCTTTGTGTTCTCAGTAGAATGTTCTGTACACACAAATCTGTTTTAGGAGATTTTCTAACCAAATATTAGACTGCTCACTGGTCCATGATAGCAATTTTAAAAAGGCCTGAAATGTAGAAAAAACAGGCATAAACAGCCCTCTGTGAAATAAGACACCCGACAGAACAGTTAACAGCCCGTTGTCAAGGGATGGGCACCTAAGCCATGCTCCTGAAAAATGTCCCGGGTTGGCGGGAGGGAGTGGGCTCCTCTCTCCATGAAGCTGCCACTCCACAAAGCCCCCCTCCCCCTCATACTCTGTGCCTATGACATGCTCAATGAAAGAAACAGTTTGACTCATAATTAAGATGGAGTAACTGAAAGGTACAAGTAAACAGGAAAGCTTGAAATTCCAAGTCTGTACTGCAATTCTCAATTTCAAGTTACATTCTTGGTTGGGAAAAAAATCGGCATTATTTTGGAACCAATAGTGTCGTAAAATGTGCATCGCTGTGTTGTGCTACAATGCTCTTCTTGCATAAGAGCCTTAAAATGTAAGAATAGTCTCTTCGAGTTTGATCTATAACATCTCCAGTTTTAGTTTTTCATAGTCGCATTTGCTCTTCCATCAAATGCATTCTAGACTTTCTTTTTGTAATCTTGAAAACGTCACATTTACTCAAGTCACGGTCATAAGCCTTTTACGCATGCTGGTAAATATGACAGCATGCGTCGATGCCTTATTCTTAGTCCTCCCTGCCACATCATGCACACAATGCCTGTCCAAAGGCTAAATGCTCACGTAGACACTCGACCTTTAGTTTTGTGCATTACACCTTACAGCTGTCTCGCACGACGACTGTCTTCATGTTTGTCATTGTCAATGTTGCAGTTTATCATCATCATGGCCGGCTTCGTGATTGTGGAAACAGTGGCGATGGGCCTTGTCTGGAAATATGCAAACAGTTCTGAGGTGAGTACGCACATTAGTGCACTGTGTTATTTTCTTCCTGCCTATGAGCATGCGAACCTGTCACTTGATTGAAGTAGAGCTGTCACTTAGCTGCTAGCCTGTCACTTCACGCACACTGGGCTGTCAGATAGTCAGTGAAACGAAAGTGCATTGACTTGAACGATTGTTCTGCCACTAACATTCATTTCTTTTCTCTTGCAGCTGGAAAATACCCTAACTTCAACATTGTACACGTTCATTGAAGCGAAGAAGAGCGGGCTGCCAAACTTCTTGCACGATTTGCAGCAAGGTGTAAGTTTTGTCTCGCATATTCACTTTTGTGCATAACGTGCTTCATGTGGAACATGTTTCTCAAAAACATGACCTGGAAAAAATGTTTTAGCATTCTGCTCTCCTAATTGTGCAATTGCCTAAGCAATTAGAGAGAGTGCTGGTGTTGTCTCATTGGGTGTTACCGGGGCCTTTAGATTGGCTTGGCTCTGTTGTAGGTGAGGCAAATGAACAATTTGTCTAAAGTGAAATTTGATTAAATGTAAAGCAATCAAGACATTTCTCTTTGAACAGTACGCGCTTCTGTATGGACACAGGAGTGTGCCATTGAAAGCAAAGCTTCATTCCTGCATTGGAAAGAAGACACCAAGAGCAAACTACAGTATGATTTTGTCTCATATCACATTGATGTAATGAATTATGTAACATAATAATGTAAATTTTAACAATTTTTTTTTAATACTAGCATGTAGCAAATACGTGGTAACAATGAATCTTGCGTACGACAACAGATGTAGCATGTCACTGGGCTGTGGCTTGCAATAGTTTATGCACGTAACTGGCTAAATAAAGATCTACTCAGCAGTAGAATGGCAAAGTCATGTCATATGCAACAGGGTCTGCAACATAAACAGAATGGAGACACACCTCAGCGTGTGTTACTCCCATGTATGTTTGTTTTTTACTTGTATCAAAAAGGTTGAACTCCGAAGCACATTACAAGGTGATGACTTTAGCCTCTACTTTTATGCTTATTATGCATCAATTTTCTTGCCACCTAGCTGTCTTGCTGTGGTGCAAAGGGACCCGATGACTACCCACGAAATGGCTTCGAAATACCAGCGAGCTGCTACACAGAGTCAAAGTCATCGTCAACAGCACATCACAAGCCAGTACTTCACACAGTGGTAAGAAACACGCACATGTGCAGGATAGGTTTGATTTAATTAGTGATTTAATTAGTTTAATCTACCTAAGTGTACAAGACAACACTGAAGAGTGTTGAAGTAGTTATAAAACACTGGAAGAAAAGCCTCAAGTGTGATCAAACTGAAACTAGTAAAAAAAAGCAGGAAAACTGGGAGGCATGGTTATTAATAATGATGCAAAGGCAACGTTAGTAGTTTCTTTGGCTTCATTGTATATTGGCTTTGAATACACTCAATTCTCAATATAACAAACCGAGATGTAATGAAGTATCTGTTATAATGAATTAAAAAATAGTCATGCAACTGATATAGTGTTAGGGATAAACCTGTAAACCAAATTTTCGGATATAAGGGGACTCTTTGTTAGAATGATGTTTGAGTGTAGTTATTCAAAATTTGCAGCAGGTGAGCAGCGATGAAAACAGCTAACATGATGGTCATGCTGTGGCTCATACGTGGCATGCCTGGAGTTAATCGTAACTGAGAGCAATTTTTTTTATTCTAACTTCCTATAAAACTTCATGGTGGTACTTGTTACATATGTAAGTGTCTGATGTCACTTCATTCAACAAACTATGTCATTCTTCATAGGTAGTTCAGCAGTTTACACAGAAGAATATAATAATAGAGGCAGTTTGTGTAGCAGTTAAACATGAAGAAGTAGTTGAAAGGAAACGCATCCAAGAAGCTCTAATCAAATTAATGCAAAGCATAAAAGACTGTGCACATGCCTGTCATAAGCTTCTAAAGTTCATTAATTCATTAATGCCCATATGCTTCACTTGTTTTGTGTTATATTTGGTTGCAGCCAGCCATTCTTAACATAGTTGCAATTGCCAAGCTCTGCACTGAAAGAAATTGCTTGGTAAATTCCCTATTCAATTTGATATATATCAGTGTTTACTGCCTTTTCTAGAAAAACGGAAGTTTTTCACATTATGTCTCACACAGATAAAAGACTGATATTTAGCCCTTAATTTCAAGTTCAAGCTCCTACAAGTGCTTATGCTCTAACACAGTGTTTTCTTATACAACTGTACAATTTAGAAATCTTCGGTGGGTTGAAACACTAAGCTTTTCTCAAGTTACCATATGTTCTATTGTATAAGACATAAAAATTTTTTGTCTGCTACATTTTTACCTGTGCATCTTGTGCCATTGTAGTGCAACAAGCACTGGTTTAACTAATGTGTGCTAAAGGATAGCATTGGTTAAGTATTATTCTGTGAGGATAGCAGCACAGAAATATTTTGTTCGTGTAACATTATTGTATTCAGTGATGAGTGCGAGCACATCATGATGCCAGCCGGGTTAAAATATGCACATCTCGTACACAAGTGTGACTTCTGTAGATTTTTTTTTTTTTCATAACTTATAATGTGTACAAGGCGTGCCTTATTGAAAGGTGTGAAAACACACTAACAACATTTGCTGGCCCTCATGGACTTGCATGACATATTTTTATCTCTTCTAAATCCTTTCAGTATATTTTGTTCTGCCATCTATTTATTGAGGTGTTGTTAACTGCCACAATACACAAACACCTACTAAAAGGCATGAACAATGCACATGCATGTTTCAGGGCTGTGGAGAAGCCATTGCCATATTTCTGGGTAAGCAGAGCCTCAAAATTGGTCTCCTGGTGCTAGGCATCGTGGTCGCCCAGGTGAGCATTTAAAGAAGTGTTAGTAGTACTGTGGGAAAATGCAGGACAGATAACTTCAAATGACTACTGGCACAAATTTAGGTTTAGAAAAATTACCACACTTTGCTTGCACATAATGTGATAATGCTTTGCAAGTTTGCGTGAAGATGGGGAAATGGAGGATATTCTTTTTTAATGTTTTATTATTCAGTGTTCTGGCTTTTTCGACATTATCATGACACCATAAGCCACGAGTAAAGATTTCTCATGCTTTGTAGCAATACAGTTACGCATAACGACCTGCTCATTAAAAGTTTTCAAAAATGCTGCCGTGCCTTTTTTCTGAGCAGTGCTCACATGTTGCAGCCCAGTAAGTTGCAGGAACTAAGCAAGCTAATGTATCGTGATGTCACAATGTACCCACTCTACAGATAGCAAAACTGAAACTTGCTCGAAGAACCACGTACAGTGGACTCTCTTAGCTTCACTTCTGAATAATTTTCTTCCACCTAAAGGTATCAGCCAAATCCACACAATTTTACACACCAAGCTTTAACTGCATGTGTGTTAAAATTTGCACCAGATAATATAGCCTTGATGCCCGACACACGAGCACTCAACTAATGTCTGTAATGACACTATTGACTGTAACAGTAATGAAACATAAGATGACATATTATCATATGTGAGCAGTGATATAGTAACTGAACAGAGAAAGTGTACCATGCAATGAGCACAGTACATAGAAAATATTTATGTATGTCATGAGATTAGACCATTGTAAATGTTCTAGCACTAAAGGGTTGAAGGATACTCGTAAAAGTTGTGATCTTATACTGACGGTGCTGAAACTGTGATTGTATTGACTGGGCTGAAACTGTGACGGTAATCACAGGCGAGGTGTTTTATTTTATAGGTAATTTTAGAAGTTCTCGTTGGCATACAGCACAAATTTTCTCACCAAACTGGATTATTTGGAGAGGAAGATAGTAGTACGTCAATGAAAATATGTAGCTATGTAGCTAAACGGTTTTAAGAATTCATTAATCGGTTGTTCAATACATTACTCTGGTGTGCACAGTATATTGTACTAAATTCACAAGGTACAACTACTTGTAACGAATTTCAGAACGGGCGCTAACTTTTAGTTAAGGGATGTCATACATGTGATGAAAGTGTGGTGGCTTCACAAACCATTCTATTAATACAATTTAGTATCAAAGGAACACCCATGCCACAAGCTTTCGGAACCTGTATGTCAAAACTGATGTCATGCTCAGAATTTGTTCCAAGTGGTTGATACGATTCAAGTTACGGGGGGGGGGGGCAGGGCATTGAAACGTTTTACATTATGTGCCATAAAGCTTACAGTATTAAAGATAGGTAGTGAAACATCGTTGGCACATTCATAATGTTTTTTTTGTGTGTGTGAAAATAATTATACTATGCACTTTTGAGCGCAGCTGTGGCAGTAGCCATTTACAGCATGTACCTATTTACCGCATGTCATATCAAAATGTGCAAGACTAGCAGCAGTATTTAAAAATATCTGGAAGGGAAATCTGATTAACATTTCCAAAAGCAGCTACTTTTCTGGTATCACCACTCTTTTCTGCCTCCCATTAATCTTACGTTTTTCTTCTTTTTTCTCTCTTTCTTTCTCTTTGTTTGCAGGTGGTCGCCATATCCCTGGCAGTGTTTCTATATTGTAAGCTGTAGGCAGCTGCAGAATTCAGGGTGCCGTTTGCTTGTTTCCAGACCTGCTCGTCGTTACAGTGCATTTATTTTTTATTTTTATTTCTGCTATGGCAACAGCATCGGCCGAATTTGCTAAGTTTTGTCTGGAGCCAAAAGCATGGCTGCCTTTATCGGTTTTCTCGTGGAACACTTAGTCTTCTTGTAAAGTGCGTGTTGTTTAAAAAACACTCGTCACTATGTAACAGAACTACTTCAAAAGTACAAAGTGACAATGTGCAGACATGCATTTCTTTACACTAATAAGCGCCTAATTTTTGCTTGTGTATGCTTGCTCTTAAGTGCCTTACATCCTGTACCGTAACATTGCTAACAAGTACCGCGGCCAAAGTAACGTGGCAGTATTTACTAATACAATTTGCCGTCCAATTTTGTACCGCTCTATTGCTGGTCACAGCGACCACACAGCTGAAATCTAGCCACCCGTGCGTTCTATAATGAGGCAGCTTAACTGTAGTGCCTTTCTGATTGAAACAGATGCAATAGAAAAAAAGAGTGTGTTTACATGATGCACGCACTAGGTCACCACTCTCATCTAACAGAAAGTACAGCCCAGCAGGTAGACGTCTAAGTCTAATACTACATTATACTAACAAGAGATTTTATTTAGCCGATGTTTTCCTCCTCCTCTTAAACTTCTAGCGCAGCATCATTACAACAACTCAGTGCAAAGTGTGGTTACACGTTCATTTTTTGGGTGAGCATTCTTTAGAATTATTTCCAGGCATGTTCAGTGCTACACTTTGACATCTGAACTGGACAGTGTCATGAAATCAAGTGTCATGAACTGCGTTTACGAGTAATTCAGTCCCTAGTCATGAAAATGGGTAGCTGTACAGAAAAGCAGACTTGTTGTTTACCTCTTCATATACACGCAAATAAGTACTACCATGCTATTTAGAGAGACGTTGATGTATTTTTTTTTATGCAGCACACGTGCGACATTCGAGAGTTTTTATATTGCTTGTTGTGCCTTCTTTGTACAATATGTGCACTTGATTCAAGCCCGACTAGCAAGCGAATACAGCGCTGTATATGAACGTGCTGGGCATCCCAAAGCATCCTATCTTGCACTCCACACCTGTTTAACAAAGGCACCTAGTCAAGATCATGCTTCCTAACAGAGAGCTATTTAACCCAATGTTCATTTATTCAAAAGACCATTGTTTGGACACCAAACAGAAACTTTGTTAATTCATATTAGTCTTTGCTGTTGTACGAGTTGTGCATTTTATCAGACTGGACTCCTTTGTGTTGCTGTTTTGGGTTCAGTAAAATCTGAACTTTCTCTTTTGTATTAGTTGTAGAATGCTTCCAAGTGTGAGTATCATAATCATGTTTCTCATTTATGACAAGGAATAAGGGTTTCAAGTTTATATTTTTTTTTAATTGGGCAGATATTTTCTGGCATTTTCTTTTTTTTTTTTTCTCAAGCATTCACTGTTTAGTGGCATTGAGCATACTTTACTTTCGATTTATCTGAAAAGGTTTGTTTTCATACTTCAATTATTATCACATTATATAAATGTATACAAACTACACAGAAATGCATCAGGTTGCTGAAAGCAACATAATTCTGGTGAAATATCCGTAGTGAGCATCAGTATGTTTGTCAAAAATGTAGTAAAGCTTGTTTTATATAATATACAGAAGTACCTAACAAGGTCCGAGTGTGCCAATTAGAAGCACCTGTATTTCTGTTAGTCACTCTAAGCGTAGTGAATGCCCTTTCTATCGTGGATGTAGCATTTTTTCCAAAAAATAATCTCGGTGGAAACATCTGTGTTCCTCAATTTAAAGTGCATATTTACTAGCGGACATTTCTTGTAATAAACTAAAAACACGGACTCTACAGCAAGAATCTGCCATTGCAGCGCAAGAAATCACGACAGTTCGGCCAAAAGCTCTCCTGCTCTGTTTTTTATTCAGATTTATATAAAAAAACAATGCACATTTCTCTGTGTTGTCATTGTTATTCTTTTTTCTTTGTACATTTGTGAGGAAAGTGATTTTCAACTGGAATTACCCATTGCCATGCAAGTAGCTGGTTCTTCCGAATTATACATAAGAGTGCAAATGTTGCAGTATATTTTATATACAGTGTTTGCCGAAATAAAATTGTGCAAAAACACGGAGCGAGATCTGCTGCCTTATCTTGCATTTTGGGCACTTCATGACAGTTGTTTGAAGTTCCGAGCTAGTAGTACCACTAGTTCTCACATACAGTCATACTTTGTAATTAATGAATGCAAATATAATGAAAGAACAAAATCATACATGCTTCTCATCGTTAAATATGCATGTACGAAATATTGAACGGAACTATACAGTGCACTATTATTATTTTGTGTGCCATTAGATTCAACTCCAATTTTTTTATTCTTGCACTAGAGCATATTTGTCATTTGGATTGTGCGCTTTCTTGATTATCCCGAAAGCAGTTGTACTTTTTTTTTACTAAATATACATCTTGATTTTTCAGTGCAGTTCATTTCAGGAATATGTTGTGCAAGTTCCATCTAATGTATATTACATTGCTCTTGGGAAAACCCAACGAGCTCAGCAGTGCATAATTAATGTAATTACCTCGTTAACCTTCGCTAAGTAACCAGACCTTTTAGTGTTGCTGAACAGAAAATCATCATCAGCAAATTTATGTCCATTGCAGGACAGCCTTATTTATCAGCGTTAAGATTCAATCAGTTTGCAACTCCAGAAAGCAACACCGCTCAAATAAACAAAGATGGCTACTATACGAGGGGTCACGACTGCACTTTCGCTTAGTGCAGGGCTGAAGTCTGCAGATTGTGGCATTGAATTGTGGTGTTTCATTGAAGGCAAATGGTGCTTGCTGGTGATCACATTATAATAATTGGTCTGAAGGATTCCAGTGACAAAAGACTGGCAATTGTTGCGCTGTGCATGCGAAAGTGCAACCTGTTCTGCGAGCGGTGTCACCATTTCTTTTTTCAGCTTACTTAATTTTGAGCCAGTGGTGTCTTCGTGCGTAACAAGAGCAGGGGTGGAACAGCTGTGCTATTTGCGCCATTGTGCACCGATTTGCTTGCCCGCGCCGAGCTCGCCTACCAGCGCCGTACTGTGCCGCAGCACCAAAATTTGGCCGCAAAGCCCTTAAGACATCAAGCGCAGTGCTCGGAAATGTGGCTGAAACATTGCCTTGTTTGTTTCACCGAAATGGTTGTAGTTTCGGTTTCGTGAAGGCTGTGATCGCTCCTGGAGCAGCCGTGAACTTTTATCGTAAGGGTGTGGTCGTGATTGCTATGCGCACGCTATCAGGGCAGACATCAGCGTGTATAGCTCGTTAACCCTTCTACATGCTGCGCTCTCAATGTGAAGGGACTGCTAGAAGGGCATCTCTCTTTGACGCAGCGTTTTGTAAAGTTGCGCGATATCGGATCTAAAAGAGTCGGCTGCCAGACTTACAATTTGTTGCTATCGCATTCAGTGCTTTGCCATCTGGTGAAGCTGTTCTTTATATCATGATGGCAGCGTGCGGAAAAGAAATAAAGGATGGCAGTAACGGTGCTCAGAAGAAGGGGTGGGGGTACAATACAAGTACACGTGACTGCTCATCGAGCATATGCGGGTATTCTCGTTCATTTGGCCATTGTGCTTTGCGCTTATCGACTCGGTGGTTGACGCTCGCGCGTTCAGGAAAAAGAAAACATGGGCGGCTCTGCATAACTAAATAAAAGTCACAGTTGCACCATAAGGGTGAAGCAATGAATGCGATAGCAGCAAATTGTGATGTTATACGAAGTGAGGCTGGCTCCGATCTCGCATAAGTGCACAAAACGCTGGTGTATGAGAATACGGTCACTTTAAAGGAGAGTAACACTTTTCGCACAGTCTCTTCGCGATGAGGGTGCAGCACGAAGAAGTGTATGAAAGTCGGCCGCTGATGGCTGCCGAGCTAACGTGCACGCCAGCGATCGCGACATTGCCTTTAAAAGCAAAGTTCGTAGTTGTTGCTCGAACGACTTCTGCCTGCCTCCCACGTTTGTTTTCGTGACTTTCCAAGACGGGCGGAGCGCTTCCTCTCTCCTTCGACTTCGAGCTTCGCGGGCGGGGGTACCCGATGTTATCGCACGCACCCTCCGACTGGCCGAGATGGGTCCGATCACGGAGGAACAGATCGGACCCATGGAGGAAGTTTTTTTCCTACCTTCATGGGTCCGATCGTTTGATCCCTACTTCAAACGCGTTCGTCGCCCCTGCTCGCGCGCTTTTATCCGCGGATAGAACGTACGATGCGCGGGGGTATGCTATCAATTTGGAATTTATACGGGACATGACGGCGACAACCCGTCGGTAGTGTCCGTACAATTTCGCAGTAATGAGGTTATAGCAAAATTTAGCTTGCTACAAAAAGCAATTTAGTCTGCTCACACGACTGATCCTAAACCAATGTACCCTCTAGCTGTTCCACCCCTGCGGTAGAGACTGAGTTGTGACTGCAGTTTTTCTAATTAATTTCCTCACACACTGGAAATATGAATGCATGTACATTGTACTGCCCGATTTCTATTTCACATAGCCGACTTTTAATCTTTAATCCGTCGGGATTTTTCGCTCACGGACAACGCCGCCAGCATCGCAACTGCTGCGGCACGGGCTATCGCGTTAAAGTATACAGATTAAAGGTCGCTAATAGTAAGCATGCAGCCCCACCCTGCCTCCCTGTAACTCCTCTGAGGGCTCGTGGTCATGCAAATCAGACCAGGCCATGATAGACTTCTTCACAGATCACGAGAGCGTTAGGAGGAGCAGCACACACGTCCACGATGGCGGGCCTACTTGCGACTTGCTCCCCTGGCCGCCTGTAACCCTCTCTGGACTGTGCATTATTAACAGGCGGTACCAGCCGAAAATTCACTGTCGAGGTTGTGACGTCAACCTCCGCACTTCGACGCTCAGCCCAGCATGGCGGTGTTTTTTATATTTTTTTCCTCTCCCATGAAGCCGTCGCTCCCTCGATATACACACCGCAAACAGCAACATCCGCGAAACGCGATGCATACACTGACGCGCCGTGCCTCAAAACCTTTGACGGACGACCCGCGGTCGGGGACAAACACGCACACTCGCACTTGGCACGGCGTGCGACGGAAGCTTTTGTGTAGGCGAGACTGCAGACGAGAAAGGCGGGGAAGCAAAAATATATATATATATATGTGGATTGCTTCGACAAGTACGCGTTTACGGCGGCGGCGTTGGAGGCGACCGACTAGCTGCGCAGTGCAGCACAGCTCAGCACTCCTTTTGCTGCTGCAGCACGTTCTACGCGCTGCTCCAAGGCATGTCCGGGCTCAAAGATCTCGTACTACCCTACTGACTAAATCGTCGACGCAACTGCTGACGCTCGAGGAGCCGCCGTGTCCAACGCGACCGCTGCCGTGTAATACGCGCACAGGTGCACGGATAGATAGCAGGTAGGAGGGCAGGCGAAAGAGGTTAACAAGAGAAAAAAAATCTGTGTGATAAGGAACAAGAGAAAGAAGTACATAAAAAAGTGTTTTCGCTCCAGGCGATAAGACTCTGCCGTTCAGGTACACGCTAGAAGCGACAGTTGGAGAGGCGCGGTCGGGATACGCCATATTTTTCTATGCATGTGGCGGTGTTTGTACCGAAGGCGATGCTTAAGACGCGTGTGACCACCAGGATGACATCACGGGAGCGTTAGGAGAACCAGCAGCACACGACCATGTCCAAGATGGCGGGCCTACTTGCGGCTCGCTACTCTCTCTTCGCGAGCAGCATCTTCATCTGGGTAAGTGTTTGGACTTCAGTGCTTAACAAGCGAAGGGGCCTTAGTGACTACGTCAGTATGTTATAGCTAGCAACACCAACGAAACGAACCACGGCACGCTCGCTGCTATCAATAATGCTGACGTCAAAGACCAAATTAATACACAACAATGATTCGCGATCGCGTAGTCAGCATAAGAAAACTCCAATCAAGCAGCTAGAATGCATGTTTATTCCTGTAAATGTCAAACGATACGATGAACGCGTTCATTAATATCACTTGTTGAACTACGTGCGACTTTTTTTTTTACTGCAGTTGGAGGTATATTTTGCGTAAAAATTGACGACATGAACATGCGCTGAACAAGTGTGCTTTTCTCGCGAATGTGTCAACATTGTCAGTAATGTGTAAGAACGTGTGAGCATATATACTGAACTCTGCTGCGTTGTCGATGGCGTGTACCAACTAATGAATTTTTTTTAGTATAATGACGTCATGCTGAATTACGCAGACGCTAAACTTTTATTGTTTAGGTATACGTGATGTGGTATTGTTCCAAGTGTGTAACTACATGTAACATGCACATGCTGAAGTATGTAAAACGTTTTTTTTTTCATTCTTGGAAAAGTGCACAGCTAGCACACATATGCGTGTAATGAAATCTTAGCTCCGTGCACATCGCGCAGTGCTAACCATATAGCGCACACGTGACTTCGGAACTTTGTATATGCATATCGCGCGGTCCTTGTTATGACGCGTACCACATCGCGTCACTCATAACCACGGCAACACAATAAATATGAACAGCAAATTTCGTAATTGTGAGATGCGTACCGACCGATACGTTTCAGACGAGCAGTCAAAGAACGAAAAAGTGTATTCAGGCAGTGAGTATGGAGTCAAAATCCGTGCATGTCGCAGACAAACGTCATGGACGAGTGCTAGTCGCGTTTGTACATATTTTTTTTCTGCCTACTGGTTTAGTAGAGTCTGCCGCAGCAACTGGGTGTGGAACATTTTGTAGCAATATGAAGGAATTGACAACCGCGCTCCCAGCACAAGCCAGCTGTCGGCCATTCGGACACACCAATCGCACCAAGAAGAGGACAGTGACTTTTATACTTACAGGGACAACAGTCAAACAAAAATCGCTCTATAGGTGGATAAATTGTACTCCGAGAACTGCAATGTCGATAATTTCTTCTTAATAGGTTTATTAATACGGGAGAAAATCAAGGTCAAAGTTTCATTTTTACATTTCGCGCCGATAACGGCGCAGATATACGTCACGGAATTCAAGGCGCATTTTAAGTATTTAGCCAATATTGCCTGAAGGAAATTTCTTCAAACTTTATATGTTCGCTATATACCCCCCACCCACCTTTTTTTTTTTCGCAGAAGACAATGAACTTCGTTTTTACTTGTTAGGAACCATACAGGGCCGCGCGATCTCCAGCGTCAGCGTAGCTCTGGCCGACTGGGCTCGCCCTACGTCACCTCCTGACGCCGACGACCTTCGACGACAGTGTAGCTCTGACTTACTGGACTTGCTCTACGCCATCTACCGACGCCGACAAGAGCTCTCGCAAGTGTGCCCCGTCCTCGGACTCCAGTGACCGTGCTTCCATCTTTCCTATCTCTCCTATCCCCTCCGTTTGTTGTCGCTTCTTCTTCCTCTTTTCTACACCTTTACTCCTATCCTTTTTATCCCTCCTCACCCCCATCCCTTGTGAGCTACTGTTGAGGTGTCGCTCACTTAAGCAGACAGTAACGGGGCTCACTTTTCTCTTCCTTTCTCTCTTAAGAATCACTCATCTATGAAGTTGGGTGCGGGAATTTCAAGCTGGTGTCGTCGTTTCTTTTGCACGTTTTCCCGCTTACGAAGCGTTTTCTCACGTCAAGCGCAGGGGCTTCGGAATTTAATATGAGAATATAACGATGCTCACAGAGCATGGTTATACATGTTCAACACATCTAGAACAAAACGAAGCCCTTAATAAGGGCTGCTGATTGAGGTATGCGGCAGGGGCGGCGTGTAGGGGGTACCGCGTTGCTTTTCTTTAACTGACATCTCCGGTCTTGATGCATATAAGGGTTATTGGCATAAGTGTATTGCGAGCATTCCAAAAACGGACTGCGGTAATTCTGAGTACAGCAGGTGGGTGTCTCGCATAAACCGGATGGGCCACGCATTGTCGGATGAAAACGGCCGAGGTAGTTTCGCTCCGCCTTGATCGTTATCTAAGTCGTTCGCGTAGACATAGCCCAAAAGAGCAGTCTGTATACCACAGTAAGTATAATTGCTTCTGCTACGTCTGGAACCAGGATACAGAGCACAAAAACACGTTAGCGCGTGTGAACACGTTGTCGGCTTCCGCGGGAACACAAACTACAGGTAGCGAGAATGTTCAGAGCACCGCGAAAGATATCGGAAAGTACCTGCAAACCAACGGCCTTTTGCGAAGGTCCAGACCAGTATATATACCATGCGACGGCGCAAATTAAGTAATTGGTATTGTTTGTGGATATATAAAGCTTTCATCCGAGCAAAGAGTATACCAGAAAAAAATTTACGCTCGTTCACAGCTGCAATAGCTTATGCGGTTTAGTTGCCAGAACTAGGCAATCAATCGTAGAGAGGTGTTTTGAGACCTCCTGGATTCCTCATTTATGGATCGGTGTTTGTATTTCATTCATATATCGTACCTCCGCAATCTCGAGCACAAACAACTAGCATTGACACAGCCGTATAACGGTGGTTTGCGACATTTAAGTGGTCAAATATACTTCGAAGGCCGGGCCCTAGAACACTTCCTACATTTCCGCTCAATAAGAACGCTTGGGAGCTCTAAAATCAGGTTTAATAATGTTTAATTTTTACCAACGAAATACTTCGCGCGTGACAACCACAGACAAAGGATGTCCCGTTCGGAACACGTAAGCAAGGTATTGGAGCGATTGCGAAGTGCACGGGAGACTCCTGAACTTCTGCTGGACACTCGCACAAAGCCAAATCGAAGAGCACAACGCAGGCAACGCGTATTGCAGTCAAAATTGATTGATTTGTGGGGTTTAACGTCCCAAAACCACCATTTGATTATGAGAGACGCCGTAGTGGAGGGCTCCGGAAATTTTGACCACCTGGGGTTCTTTAACGTGCACCCAAATCTGAGTACACGGGCCTACAACATTTCCGCCTCCATCGGAAATGCAGCCGCCGCAGCCGGGAATCGAACCCGCGACCTGCGGGTCAGCAGCCGAGCACCTTAGCCACTAGACCACCGCGGCGGGGCTATTGCAGTCAAAATGTGGAGGACAGTTCGTCACTACGGTCTCCCACCTGATCGACGTCCCATGAAACTGAAAACAGCGAACACAAGCGCAGTTTTTTATTATTATTATTGGGACTGAGAAAATTAAAAAAGATGGTGTTGTGGAATAGGGGCTGAAAGATGCATATGCATCCTCATGTTACTGAGCTACCGTATTGAAAGACTCTCGGGTCATCTTTGTCATCACTGCGATCCTGCAGCGGCCAGGCGGAGGCCACAAGGCATTGTCGCACTTGCGTGCAACTAGCGGTGAAACGCAGCCAGACAACCTGCAGCTGCGTTGACCGAAACAACGTGACTTCTATCTTCATTCGAGCGAGAGAACACTTGCGCGACAGACAGTTCGTTGCACTCTGTTGTAAACTTCATCCACGGGGGCTCATGCTGCCAACGTCTGCAACAAAGCAGGAGCAAACTTCTCGGACATAACATGAAGGTGTTGAGCGTTTGATGTCTATCTCGTCTGCTGATTGAGCCTAACCTGCGCGTGTTTGATGTGCAGCTGTTCGGCATCGTGCTGCTCGTCGTGGGCGGCCTGCTGCGGACGGATCCGGACGTACGGCGGATCGCCGAGTACTTCACCGTGTTCAACAACTATTGGGCGGCCAGCGTCACCACGCTGTTCGTGGGCGCCTGTCTGCTCCTCGTCGGCTTCCTAGGCTGCTGCGGAGCTTTCTTCGAGAGCAAGCGACTGCTCGTTGCGGTTAGTCACAAAAACCCACTTCGCACGTTTGTGCAATCGGAAGCTAGCAGCGTTTTAACGCGATAGCGTTAAAGAGCTCGAGTCGCAGAAAACCCGCCGCCGGCGTCGGCCCCGTAGGCAGTGAGCGAAAAATCGTCTGTGCGTCTGTGACCGAAAAATCAAGCTACCGAGATAGCCGCGGGAGGTCGCTACTTGTCCACGCGTACTCGCGCGATCACACTGAAAGCCGCGCATTCGAAGAAAAAAAAATGCTCAAGGTCCCAAGGCGCAGTAGTTTTTTTGCCCTGCCACCCCTCCCTGCTTAGCTTCCAGCGCTTTCGTCGGGACGAGAGAAGAGACAATGCGATTGCAACATGCGGCAAACCTTTGTAACTCCACTCGCACTGGACGGATTCTTGAAAATTATGTGCCATTGAATTCGTGTGCCAATAAGCTCTTCTAGTAAATTCATTCCGTGGTTAGATGAAAAAGTGTTTCAGGGCCCCTTTAACGCATTTTGTTCGACAGGTGTCACGACGAAAACGAGCCCATTCGGCGATAATAGCGCGCGCTGGTCCAATCTACTGTGTGCGTGTTTGAGTGCGTGCATGTGTATGTAACAAAACATATTACTAAGTATGCACTTAGCGGTTGAAGGGTGTACCGGAGGCCGGATTTCGCTATCGCGTTCAACTCTTAAAGGCTAAGCTTAAGGCCCCCCCCCCCCCCTTTTTGTTTTTCAGTCTTTCGCACTTATACTGTTACAAAGCTACAGCTCCTCGACCTCTCTTTCCTCGTACTCTTCTTAATACAGCAGCGTGTTGTTTAAAGCAGTATATATGTTTTGAATTTCCCCGTTTGTGCTTGAAGGAATCATCCATGCCTCCTACAAGAGCCATACTTTTCAGACAAATCGCTGCTTGCCCGCAGTAGCTATATTGGCCGATTTCGCATGTGAGTGATAGAGAGTTGGTGAACTCCATGGATCGGGGTATCTGGGGCACGCGCCACTCGCGATGCGCTCTAGCGCGTTTTCCTGCAGAGGGCGTGTGCTGGTGTTGAAGAATGTACACACCTTGAACACACCGCTGCCGACGGCACCCGTTGAGGGCTCACGACAATTCTTGTGTAACGCGACTATTATTTATTTACTCAAATGGTTTCAGATTACTATTTCATGCGTCAACTGAAGGTCCTAGACTTGACTTTGGGAAAAATAATGCCAAGCCCCAGAGCGTCCTAAATAATTTTATGCAGCTGAACCTCGTTACAAAAACGCCGATATAGCGAATTATCGGTTATAGCGAACTAAATAATAATTTTTTTCTTGGTGACATTTGTTGTTTTCATAACGAAACAGAAAACGCGAATCGCCACTGTATCAGCTTAAACGAAGATGTATTTGATTGACACAAGACTCAAAACTCGGGAGGTGGCGTGAAAAGAAAAATAATAGTGAAAAACATTCGCCACCATTTTCATTTTATTCATTTAAAAAAGTTTCGGAAATTTTTATTATCCAGAGTGCAAAAAAAAAGCACATTCATATGGTAGTGCTACTGCGTGAACCGAAGTTTTAAATGCCAGAAAGTAACAATTACTTTGTTTATATAGTGGGTTGTAAGCTTAGAACGGTGCATTTTTTTTTTGTATCTAGGATTTGTTTTCAGGAACCAGATATCAATAATTTTTTAGAACAGATTCTCATCTCTGTTGTTACAAGAAAATATTGGATAAAACAAACTGATGATTATGTCTTAGACTGATGACGTACGCATGACAACAGTATTTTTACGGGAAGTCTCTATTCAAGGTAAGCTTTTTCAGGTGGTTGCACTGGTTATACCTACGGAGCATGTTTATACTAGTAATACGTCATAACACACAAGTGGTGACATGGAAGCAACCCATGATTACCTTTACAGAAGCGTAGATGAAGACCAAGCGAGTGCAAAAAAATCACCCCGGACTTGCCTTCACGAAACCAGCTGATCTGTCATTATGCTCAAAGATTCATTCAAAGCTGTCTCATGGCCTCCATTATGTACACCATTGCACTTTTGGAGGCACCAGTGCATACATAGGCAGTCTGGTCCAGTGATAAAGAGAACACAGCAGCATGCTGCTTACCTAGGGTGCAAGGACACAAAGACAGATTATTAACGTGCAAATTTTTGACTAAAGGATTACATCAGGAACTTTTACCCAATATGCGTACAGTAATCATTGAGTTATGTTACTCTCGTTACTGCTTAGTGTCCCGTTGAACAGCGAGTTGGACTGTACATTACTTTTGAGAGACCACACTTGAGAGGGTCCACAAGTTTTGGAGGTGCAGGCATATTCTAAAAGTGCTTTTTTTTTTGTCTTTGTATTCCCAGCTTTTACAGCTTACCTTAATCTTGGGGCTTTCTGTAGTGTTCTTAGTGCCTACACTGACACCCCAGTCATGATGGCACCCACAAACTCCATTGAACTCCTTTGACTTTCCATCGATAGATTTGGTTCGTACCATATGGTCTCCATTTTGCCAGAAAAGTTTAAGGAAACTTTTGGTGAAGAGAGTGCGGTAATGATTATTCTGGCTCGATGGAGTACTTTCATTCACAGATAGCTACTGCTGCAAAAAAAAGCAAGCATGCTAACAAAATTGTCCTAATAAACTCTATTATAAATTTTTAATACTATACCTTTCATTTGATGTAGCATTACACACTAGGTAGGTGCATTACAGCCAGAGAAATTGACTTACATGTTATGTTAGATACTTTAACTGAATACAGCTCAAAATTCTGAGGTTTCGCGTGACTTTAACCCAATATGATTATCTCCTTAATCATTGCACGCAAGAGATTCCATATCTAACCTCTGCTTAAATCTATTAAAACAGCAAAATGTTTCTTGGTGCACTCCGCAAGCATGGTCTTCATGCACATCAATGCATTGAAACATGCTTTGTCTGCTGACACGCGAGAGTCTTTCTAACAATTGGAGCACCGTAAAAGTGAAAAACAGGTTTGATAAGGCACGAGAAAAAAAGCTTGGCCAGTTATGTAGGTGTTTCGCACTTCCTCTTATTATTCAATTAGGCACTGTTCAAATACAGAAGGGGAACCCATGCAACAATCTCAAGGTAAATGCCGCTTTTGATTGTACAAAACATAAATTGTAATGCTGATTTGTAAGCTTGTTCATCAATTCTCTGTCATTTCAACGTGCTGCTCATCTGTCATTACAGTACAATGTCTTCATGGTGTTCTTCGTCCTCCTTGAGTTAGCTATCATGGGCCTCGTGTGGAAGCACGCCAAACAGGAAGCGGTAAGGGTTCACTTTGCTATATCTCATTTCATGGGATACTGGATACGAGCCATCATTTATCATCAAGTGCTCCCGTATAATAACACCACAGTTAGCAGGCAAATTTTCAACTTATAAGGTTTAGCTAATAAATTAGAAAGCAGACAAAGTTAGATCACACGTGGTTTCAGTTGTGATTATCAGCACCAACTTCGTGCTTAAAATACTCTCCAGCAGCTTTCATACTGTTGTGGGAGTAAAATGCGAAATTCTGACTTACTGTGTGCACTTTTGTGCCGACACTCATATTATCAACTCTCCTGAGAGCACGCCACTGCATTGGAAAAGAAAAATGCCATACTCAGTGCAACAATGTTCAGTGAATACCTGTGTCAAAGTAAATCACCAACGCCACCTGAATATCGACTACAGTAAAACTCCAAACAAGCGGCCCGCTCTCAGCAAGTTGAAATTGCCGACAAAGTGCAAGGGGTGGTTTAGTGAAATACCTCTAAGGTAGTGACAGCAAAGCATTCGCACCAGAAAGAACAAAAGCAAAATGTAGTGCAGCATCAGCGCCAAGGTTCCACACTATGCTAATCATGACCTCTGTGCAGATGGATAGATACCTGTCACATGCCTTCAGAAGACTCATCCCGAAGTCCAAGAATGCATTTGTGGATATTGAGTACTTCTTGGACAATGTACAGTTCAAGGTAACCAAATGTACAGCAGTTACGAATGACACAAACAAACACACACGCTGTGGGGACGCGCATCTTATTTTTTTTTAATTTTTTTCTGCCACCTAATAAAGCTCCAGTGCTGTGGTGGAGCTGGACCCCAGGACTATGAGAAACTGGAGATGGATTACCCCGGAAGCTGTTTCTATTATGACCACAAGAAGGAGGCTGCTGCAGTATACCAACAGGTGAGAGTTGCAGAATGCTGAAAGATGTTCAGCAGTGCAGCGCAGCAATGTAGATGCAGCCACTATGCTGCTCAAAACGTCATGTGGAAATTCCGGCAGATACCATGAGATGTGCAAATGAATTTCATGCAAACCAGCAAGCAAGTAACTGCCTTAGGATGGATTTTTCTTTTTTCTGTCAGCCAAGTGTTACGAAATTTATCAACCTCTTTATGTAAGTTTAGTCATCATCATCATCAACCCGACTACGTCCACTACAGGACAAAGGCCTCTCCCATGTTCCGCCAGTTAACTCGGTCTTGTGCTTGCTGCTGCCAATTTATACCCGCAAACTTCTTAATCTCATCTGCCCACCTAACCTTCTGTCTCCCCCTAACCGGCTTGCCTTCTCTGGGAATCCAGTTAGTTACCCTTAATGACTAGCAGTTATCCTGTCTACGCGCTACATGTACCGCCCATGTCCATTTCCTCTTCTTGATTTCAACTACGATACCCCCGTTTGTTCCCTAATCCACTCTGCTCTCTTCTTGTCTCTTAAGGTTACACCTACCATTTTTCTTTCCATTGCTCGTTGCGTCGTCCTCAATTTAAGCTGAACCCTCTTTGTAAGTCTTCAGGTTTCTGCTCTGTAGCTATAAGTACCGGCAAGATGCAGCTGTTATATACCTTCCTCTTGAGGGATAGTAGCAATCTACCTGTCATAATTTGAGAGTGCCTGCCAAATGTGCTCCACCCCATTCTTATTATTCTAGTTACTTCAATCTCGTGGTTCGGCTCTGCGATTATTACCTGTACTAAGTAGACATAGTCTTTTACGACTTGAAGTGGACTATTGCTTATCTCGAAGCGCTGCTCTCTTCCGAGGTTGTTGTACATTACTTTCGTTTTCTGCAGATTAATTTTAAGACCCACCTTTCTGCTCTCCATGTCCAACTCCGTAATCATGAGTTGCAATTCGTCCCCTGAGTTACTCAGCACTGCAATGTCATCGGCAAAGCGCAGGTTATTAAGGTACTCTCCATCAACTCTTATGCCTAACTGTTCCCATTCTAGGTAAGTTTAGTAGTTGAGTACAAATTGTGGACTGACAAGCCACATCGACTACACTAGCATGTAAAAGGTATCTCATGGCAACAGATAATGTTGAATTTCATGTTGGAGTAAAGTTTTATCACAATGAAGCACATGTTACAGACCCTAGATGTGCATATGATAAGTAGCGTTCGTCAGCGATTTGAGCAACGCTTCACTATAGCCTGCACAGTCAAGGTATTACATTGTTATAATAGCGGATTGACACACCTGCAACCACATTTGGAATTACCCCGACATGACTTTTGTGTAGGGTCATTTTCCTGAGAAGTACGAAGCACTACGTGACTCTGCAGTAGAATATTTGACTGCCATGCCTGGGTTTGATTCCAGCTCGAGCTGAGATCTTTGTTTTTTTGCTTAGATAGGGATTTTTTTTTCATCAATCCGTCAACGCCGGCACCAGATTTTCTGCAACACGAGCCCCTTTACGCATGTTACGACATCCAGTCCTTTGTCTTACGAGAACTGAAATTAGGGCAAGCTTGTAAGATTGCATACTTAAAGACAAAAGCAAGTAACAGAGACACAGGACGAGCGCTAAAAAAAAGACCACGAGAACATGAGATAGAGCCACTCTTCTGCCTCTGTTCCTTGCTTGAGTCTTCATTTTTTATGCTACCTCCTCAAGTGTGCAGTTATTTCTCGCTATTCCTGGGTTGACGTACCGTGAATCACCGATGGCAAATACTCGTACACCATGGGACATGTTATGTGGGTATGTGCCATGCGCAACAGGTGGAAAGAGTTTCTTGACGTGTGCAGCAAACGAGTCATGTTACTCATGTTATAGCCTGTCAACCATGTTCACTATACACTCATGTCCTCCTATACCAATTCTGGTACATACCAGGTTAAAAACACGACCACAAGAGCACAAATATATAGAGATTATAAATGGTCAAATTGTCTTTGGTTCACTAAGAAATGCTTCAAATTCAAAAAATATTCATTTGGCGATTTATGAGCTAAGACCATATGACAGTGAGGAAAAGTACATAGTAGTGAGAGACCCTAGATAAATTTTAACCACCTGGAGTCTTTTAATGTGCTTCTTTAATCAAAGCATGTACACGGGCATTTATTCATTCTAATGGAAACAAGCCCGCCGTAGCTGGAGACCGAACCCATATTTTTGCACTGAGAAGCACAACGCATTATTCTCTAAGCCATATTACGGGGCCTCAATCTCATGCAAAATATGCCCCATAATTATTAATACTCACGCTTAACATAGGCTTTCAAAAGTGCCCTAAATGATAAGAAAAGATAAAATGTGGTTGTTTGTAATACAGAGCTGTGGGTAACGCAGAACAAGGCATCAGCCCTTTGTGCAAATTATTCCGACAGAGACAAATGCCAGGCAGCAGAACTAAATAAACTTTACAATTAAACTGCTCTCCTGTACATTTTACACCGAGTGACTAATTAAAACAGTAGCATTTTATTCAAAAGCGGCAAATATAAAACAGCTAAATTGTTCGATATTTATTATGTGCATGCTTCTTACAGGGATGCGGTCGAGAAATGAGAAGGTTCTTGATGGGAAAGAGCCTTGCCGTTGGCCTCGTCTGCCTCTTTGTTCTACTCATTCAGGTAAGAACTTCATTTTCTATCAGTCTTCAAAAGCTCCATATCAGACTGTTCATATCAAACTGAACCATTGATCTGCCATTTCCCTTGCAGCTGGGAAGTATAGCCAGTGCTGTCTACGTGCTGAGGGTGTCAGGAAAGCCAAGACCGAAGATCACAGCTGTGTAATGAAGACTGCGATGGCACAGTTCCAGCAAGATCCATTTCTTGAACATTGCACACATCATTATGTGCCTCAAGTACACCAAAGCCACTTGTGATACGAGCAAAGCGTTTCATTTTTACTGTGTTCCTTGGAGTGTTCAAAACAACGAACTGGTCATGGACACGACATAATTGTTTGTGCATAGCAATGGGAGCGCTTATCTCTCTAGCTTGGTGCTGGTGATGTGCGGACTCAAGCAGAACACACATTTATTTAATATGTCATTAAAGTGTTATAATGCTTATTTTGCATTAACTTTTTTTTTGCACCTGCACAGTGCTTCGGTCGACACTTCATGTTACATGGAAGAAAAGGTTTCTTAACTGCATTCTCCAAATTCCAGATTAACAAACTGTTTACAAATTCATTCATGTGCCAAAGTGTGATCGGACCTGCACGCTGGTTTGAAATGGCTGCCCTGCTGAGACAAAGCAACAAAGCACTCAAATTACTAGCAATCTATGCAAATAAACCGTTGCTAGCGGTTCAGATCAAAAGCTTCCAGCCATTTTTTGTAGTATGCACCTATATGCATTAGTACCATTAGGACCTGCACGCTGGTTTGAAATGGCTGCCCTGCTGAGACAAAGCAACAAAGCACTCAAATTACTAGCAATCTATGCAAATAAACCGTTGCTAGCGGTGCAGATCAAAAGCTTCCAGCCATTTTTTTTAGTATGTACCTATATGCATTAGTACCAATGTATATTTCTCATACACACAATACTACAGCATACCGTAATGGTACGCTATTACAACTTACTACATCAAACATACATGCAGAGCAGGCACAATTGGTTTTCCATGTTCATATTTGGTGAGATTCTGGCAATGATCATGTAGGTACTGCTGGAGTTGTAACATTACTTGCTTTTAGGACTGCAGTCTTTTCACTTTTATCGTAGTCAACTGGCACTAAAAAAATGCTTTTTGTCTTGCTTCAAGACTTTTCCAATTCTGGAAGAATCAAAGTCAGCCTAGATTAGTGTAAAAACGGTAATCATACCACTGGGTCCCTGTTGTTGTTTTATATGTTAAAGAGACACTAAAAGTCAAATAATTTATGTCAGAGTGAAAGCTCAATCTATGACATCAAAAACGACAATATTATCAACAGCGGTACCCTACTTACCGAGAAATTAAAGTAAATGCACAAGAACACTGTACAACGAGTAAATATTCGCAAAATGATCCCGATGACGTCAGACTTACTGCCTACAATTAATCACTAGCAATTGAACTAGCTGCACTAAATTAGGAACTTTCCGTGCATCAAAAGACTTAATAAAATGCTGCTTGTTCTTTTCTGTTCGATACATAAAATGAAGAATCGGTGGACGTTACTATTGGGAATGGCGCAGGTGAATCAAAAGTTCAATTGTCACCTGGTTAAACTGGACAGGTAATGCCATCTAGCGGGGCCCAGTTGAACCAGGCACGCCTACCACCTCGAAGGCCATGACTAAAAACTGTTCAATGGCCGTTGTTGCTGCTGTGGCTCCCGCTACTTTCGCTCTGCTGCTACTAGCGCCGGCGGTTGCACAATAAAGCTGGGCAACGTTGTGCACAACAACGAAGACGTGAGACGGCCACTACCAGGCAGGGGATTTGAAGTGCACTAATGAGATGCAGACCACTATAGCATGATTTCATTTCAAAATAAGCACTTTTTTGGCACAAACATAGCACGAACAGATTTCCGGCCCCAGACAAAAGGTTGCCCCATTGTTTTGGCAGCAATTCAGCCCTTTTCTAAGGGAATGACTGAGATGGCCGAAGAAGCGCAATATTTTTCACTCTACTACTAGCTCCTCCTCTCCATAATGTCACAATCGCCATGGGTACACACACTGACAGGGTACCAAATGAGTGCTTGATGTTGCTGGGAGATTGACAAATATGCCATCACTTTAGGAAAAGCTTATCTATGTGTTGAACAAGGAGGTGTCACTTGAATCTATTACATCAATGCACTTCTCAGGACTATTTTAAACTTTGGCTAGTGATTGTTCAGCAACAGAAACATGATATCAGTGGTGTAGATTTATATTATCACTACCAGAGTGGCACAGTAATTACTGCAGATTTTCTAAAAGGGCATAAAAGCCTGCACATGGCCCAAATATAAACTTTTAAAAAAATACAGCTGACAGGAAAATATTATGGTTTACGGGCACTTCTTCTTTATCAACAAAGAGCAAACAATATGTGAAGTGAGCCAGCAATGAAATGAAAACTCACATGTCGATTCTAATGATGATGTACGAGTGAACGACTGAACGTGTCGATATTGCATGGCTTGAAAAGTAGGCGCAAAGGCGATGGATGAAATGGAAGACACACACAGGACGCCACTTCCAACAATGTTTATTCCCACAGAAAGGGGTGCTGTTTCTGCAGACAAAGTTGTCACGTTTCATTGATGTGCAGTTTCATTCAGATAACAAAATTCTTTCCGAGATAAAGATATGAACGACACACTTGTGCAACGATCACCGGCTTTGATAATCTTTTCTTGCCTCAATTATTAATCTATTTCAGTTGTCCTGACTATGGGCAATCATGCAACATGCAGAAAAATCCGGGTACCCGCTTGCAATCTCTGCAGTGTATTGCCAGGTGACCCTTTCTGCCATTCCTAACATTGTTGCAATGCTGCTTCAGTCTGTCGTTTAATCACTGCCCAGTTTTTGTCCATCCTCTTCTCTCCACCTACTTTTCCCAATTGGAGATTCCAAGAGGTGAATATGGAACGTCACTACGTTGACAGCTGGTTACAGGTGCTGATTACCGCAAGCACACATCAGTCTTTGAACTAGGAAGAAAAGGTTGCTTCTTTGTAAGATAGCAACAAAAGAGCTGCCAATTTTGTGATAAGAAATGAAACAGGCAAATGATGTAAGTAATCACGCTTACGAAAGCACGCAAGATGTACCAATCTACGAGCGTCCTGTGGAACAGGCTAAGGTCATTAGGTCACAGTCGGTGCTTCTTCACTAGCTGCACCTGTAGCATTTCCTCGAGACCTGAAATATAGTAGCACATTCACCACACGTGTTTGTTACTTCAAACACTGTCATCGAATGAGAACTTTAGCATGTGCACAAGTATTCTGATGGGATGTCGGTGTCATACCTTGAACTGGCACTTCATTGAAAGAGAATTATCTCCTTAGAGAGTAATAAGTAAAGAAGCCTTAGGCTTGGGGTCAACACAACTTTTCGTATTAAGATAATGTGAAATTCTAAATTTCCCTATTAGGCAATGCCTGAATAAACATGAACGAAATTTGTTGCCATTAAGAGCTGAAAGGAACCAAATTTTAGCTTATGACAAAAGCAGAAGGTTGATAGGGCCTAAAAACTATCTAAAACCTACACCTTGAGACCTACAAATAATTAAACTGTAAATAGCATTTGATCCCAGCCATGGTGATTATCTTTCGAAAATAACAGCTTGGAAATAAAAAAGGAAAACACATGTGCACAATACTTTGTGAAAACATTATAGAAACCAAAAGTACCTTCACTTGAGCCAAAAATACCACCAATTATAGCATATCTCATTATTTGCAAATTTTGGGGATATTAAACCCAATAATTTAATCAGTCTTGATTAATATACAATGTACCTGCTTGCCTACATCGCAATGTTCAGCCTCAGAATCAAGTTTGTAGTCACGCGTGAAATACCAGTGGCAAAGCGGGGGATCACAGCATCTTTCCCAAATCAATCCAACAGCGACCAAAATAAGGCCCACTCTATATGGGATCCAATGTTCGGCCTTCTCGGCAAAGGTGACACAGACCTAACGTGGTACCTCTTGGCACAGGCCGCATGATATTCGCTTGCTGAAACTACTGTCCACACACTCAGCTCTGGTGTAGGCAGCGTGTCACAAGCTTGAGGGAGCCACACAAAAGTCGTGCCACGAGGAAGAGATACATATGAACACCCACTGTGCACCGTAGTCCACTCAGACCTTTTACCAATTCATCATGGGCTGAGCCATTGGGAGCAGCCAGTAGCATTGTTAAAATGGTCATTATTCAAGTTGCCTGACCTCTTACGTCATGACCGGCAACTGTGCAAGACTGCAAATTGTGATTCCAAGAAAAGCCCAATGACAATGAACCTAAACTAAATTAAACTAGCAGATAGGCTGCATTTGATCGAATAAGAATAACAAGAAACAAGACAGACAGCACTGCACTGTCGTTTTTTTTGCCTCTAGCTGTGTTTAGCCTTGCACTGCAAGCATATAAGATGACCCTTGCATTCTTAATATAAATGGAAAGGTAATTGCACATTAAATGCATGCAGAATGATCGTATGCACAGTGTGTCTTTATAGACAAAGGTGCTTGGTAGCCTCATGTAGTCATTTAGTTATTTAAAGGGGTACTGACAAAAAATTTCATGGCTTAGATAGCCTGCGTGATCAATTCCCATGAACATGCTTATATCATCTGCAAAATGTCAGCAGCGAATATAGCTTGGAAGGTATTGTAAATAAATTCTTATGTTTGCGTGAGCGATCAACTTCATTGCACTATTGACACCCTCAAAGGGGACCCCCCTACTTCCCTCACGTGAACACGCTGCAGTGAGTTATGACGACATCATAGCTGACATTTTTTTTTATCACATTCGCTCGAGCAGACTATTACTCGGCAGCTGCTCGTGGCTGCGGCGCACAAGTTGAAAGTTTTGTGTTTGATGACATTGCTGTCTTGTTTCCTGTTAGAAAAAACTTCTTGATGCAAACCACGCGGAAGTGTGTCTGTGTGCTGACAAGGTCGAGCGTTGAACCCGCTAGGTGGTGATGGTTGCACCCGGTGGCTTGTCGTTTTTGAAACCAAAACTCACACTGGTCGTCTATAATGAGCCTACAGTTAATTATCTGTCGTGCACTGCAGAAAAACGATGTGTCGTGTTATGTCTAATAGGCCCCCAGAAATACTTAGCAGCAAAAAAAAAAAAAAAAAAACGCGAGGTCAAACTTTTTGTGTTAGTACCCTTTTAAGAAATAAGCACTTGAGTTTAATAGGTTTCGACTAAAAGAAGTATGCAGACTAAATGCCCACAATCTAGTACCAGTTCCCCAACAGTGCCTTCATGGCAATCGATAAGTGCAGATAACTGAAGGAATATTTGCCCATATATTACACAATTTAAATATTGCTTGTGTAATACAAATTCTCAAACTGAGTAGATAGGTTCTTTATTTGTTATTCAGTATTTGTGGCTATTTAAAAATTTTTATCAATGAGTCAATTACTACACACACCTCAAAAAACTGTGAAAGTGTTGCCACCTCTACATCATTGGTACATCGACAATTTTTTTCACAAGTTCGCACCAAAGAAACATAGCAGTTAATACAGTTGAACCCCTTCATAAGAAACACCTGTGTGCCCACAATAAAATTGGAGTTGAACTGAACATGAGAATCTAGCAGCCTGTTTTTAAGAGACACCTTATACAAGAGACAAGAACTCCACCCTGATGCGTGTCTCTTATAAAGAACTTCAACTGTATTCAAGAACACTTCGCAAACTCAAGAGTTATAACAGTCATAGAGTTCCTCTTACCGTATTGTTTCGTAATCCTTTCACAAAAGAAAGTTTCTGTAAACAGCTGTCCTCCAATGTCACTCTGCTGGCAGGGTCACAAGATGTGCAATCAAGCTGAAAGATCATAGTCCTTGCCACAATTATCAGAATCATTAAAAAAAATACACAAACCCACTAAGCATAACAATACGAGCACACGTAAGAGCTGCGCAAGCTGTACACCCAAATCTAACAAATTCAGTGCTTCACTCTCACCAGGCATGCTTGCAATGCCTAAATCCTTGAGACAGTACAGTTCTATTCATTTACTATTTCTATTCATTGAATTTATAAGCCCTTACATGATTAATAATCATTTCTCCCCATACGGAAATATGAGAAATGAGCTTAAACACACATTCATAAAGAAAAGACTGCGGTAGCACAAATAGCAGGCAACAAGTTGACTACCGTGCTACCGTTTAGCTTGTTTAATGTGGCTGAAATATTTCAACGAAACAGCTGTTGAAAACTTGCTCCTAACTTGACTCTGTACTTATCTATAGTGGCATCATTTGCATACCTTTATGAATTTTGCTCTACAGCTGGTGTACGCAAGGCTTCTTGATAAATCTAGTAACAATTAGAGAAGCTTACATAGCAGTACATAATAAGAGGAACTTCTCCTCGATGTTTTTCAGCAATGTATCCATATTCAGGCTGTAAGTATATCTTAAAATCCTTCTTTTGATTAAAACACGCATCTCGTACATCCACCATTTTTCACCACCGTCAATAGTCTTAACTGGTATGCATACGATTCGGCGATAATACATCATCTAGATACAAAGACAGAGCCATGAACAGCCACATGAAGTTATTTCTTGTGTGCCATGAGTCAAATAAATTAGTGAATTGCAACATTTTATGGCTGCTAATCCATACGAGCGCCCTTTAAAACATTCTGCCATTTTGCAAGCCTCTGTTACCTAATTAAAAATGCACAACTTTCACAGGCTAAAGTATCAAACAGACACGGATGTGGCATTTAAATGTTCATTGTATTTCTTAAGCTGTACAAGAAGTTGCAAGATATTTCGTAGCATCCCCGAAGTGCTGTTGCATAAAACTAAAATACACTCCAGTGCTGTCACAAACAGCATGTACACAGTATGCTTGCAAATTTGACCTAGACATATCATTCAGGAAGAATGGGATTACAGACAAAATAACTGTGCAAAATAGTACTCTTTGGGGCATCCCACTGCGACATATAGGAGGAGACAGTTATCCATAATGGAGACCTCAAAGCATCAGCGACTTATAAACAAGGAGATTACCAAAGAGCCCATAGAGATATTACGGCTCACCAAGTTACCCAACACTGATGTCCTGTGCTTTGAAAGCTGCAATTTGGTTGCTCTTATCATTAAAAGGAGGTTCATTAAAACACAAAGGATGCTTTTGCAGGTGTAAATATAAAGAACATGTGGCAATCTCCCATTGAGATTTTCACCTTAGCTACCTCTTGCGATCTCGAAAGACTTTGGTGACATCCTCTAGCGACCACTTAGCTGCACATTAATTAAAAGATTTACATTTCACTTGAATGCATGCGAGGAATCCATATCGCAGTTTTTTACATTTACTTCAAAATACATATAAGTTATAAACCTAGACCCAGTATGTCAGCAGCACCCGCAGTAGTCGAACGGAAATCTTAAGATTAAACTAAGTACTTTGGTCAACAAAATCAATCAAAAGTTCAGCCAGAAAAACCTACCATGTTATTGTTCGCGGTCTGTTTAAAACTTATGCGAAAGGATTCCCATATTTAAGCACCACGCACAATGCAAAACTCGTGCGACCTTAGCACAATCTATTAGGACTGACACATTGTGATCACAGAAACTGCAATGTTCTCTCACATCAAAAGCAAAATGTGATGGGCACAGACAAGCTTCAGGCTGCCAGGCTTCGGTTAACACAATGCGGGCGTCAGGACAACGAAGAGAACTTAGACCTTTGTGAAACTTTAGCTACGAAATACATTATAGTTTAATATAGTGAAACAAATACAAAACAATTACAAAACCAGCATAAAAACATCACGGATTAATGTTCACACACTGTTGCAGAGCATCTTATCATGTTAGTCTAGGTTACGAGATGAAACAGTTGAGGGAGCCAAGAGGCAAGACTTATAGTGAATTAAAACGCAATAAAGCCAAGAGAAAGTCAAGCTGAGCCTTGGCTTCACCGGGTTGCGAGGCAGAGCCAGATACTTTCACCGGAGAAGCGGGTTCAAAACTTGAAAGAGCAGCTGCACCCTATGCCACCCCTCCCAACACCTGGTTGCGTTGGCGCATGTATTTACATTAAATTTTTTCCAACAGGGGTGAAGATGAGAAAAGAAAATTGAAAACGAAAATAAATTAGAGGGTAAGCAGAAAAAACACTGTAAACAAACCAAACACAATCTTCCTTGTTCACAACCTTAGAATACTGATAATGTTTAGCAGAGAAAAAAAATCAATCATCAACGACACTGACCTCCAAGTCACAAATGTCACATTTTTCTATAAAACGTTGAATGTGGGCCAGAAAACACACTATAATTGTTCAAAATACACACATATCACATATATGACAAAATAAATACAAACAGGAAAAAAAAATACTTGTATTCACCACACAGCATGGGTAACTATAAATATGTAAATATGCATAAATTCCAGTAAGTTAATTTTGGCCGAACAATAAATTCAGTTTTCAAGCTTTTGGGCATTCTCCTGCCAGTCAATTTACCACCAAACACTCAAGCCGCACAAAAGAAAAACATATGTTTGAAATAGCGAGAGCTAATGGAGGACGCAAACAATATATCACTTGATAAATGACAATCACTCACACGAAAATGGCACAAGATTGGAACGATAGTGTCAATATCGGTCAACGGACCAGATGCATAATGTTGGTGTTGACAAATTTTGGTCAAGTAGAACCTCTCGTTGTGAAATACAGTCAGACAGAACCTTCACACAAACTGCCACAAGCCTCAGTGGAGTGTGGAAAAGGAGAAAAATGGGCGGAATGGTGATGTACTATTAATAATAAAGTAAGCTTTTTTTTCCATCTGGCTATGGCGTGAAACTTGACCAATACAATTTCAAAAAGGCTACTGAAGTTGTCGTGGTGATTCTATCATGAGAATCAATGTTCACATTTTATCATGAAATAAAGTGATAATTTGCTAGACAAGTAATGATCCCCATTTAAAAGAGATTCTATTTGCGACACAGATCAGACTTGGTGGATTGGGCCGGCACCTACGCTTTTTTCACGTCATGGGAAGCAAGACCTCAAATAATAACCTTATCATCTAGGAACTTGAACACCTTATCAGTGCAGTTCGTGGCAAAAACCATGATACC